AAATACCCAGAGAATGCTGGACAGCTAGCAATGAACAGCAACACCATCAATCTCTTTTTGATGTACTTGTTCACAGTATAAAACAAATTTAGCATGTTAACCATAGTTTGGCTTCAATATCTTTCTTTTGAGAGTACATACATACAAGGATTGCCTTTCATATTCAATTGAAACTTAGTTCTTTGGAGTAAAAATTACTGTATTTGCACTGGCTACAATAATATGCCATATGTTGTACAGAATATGTATAACAAAATAATTTTTATGGTAGTTTGGTACAAAGAAAAATAGTTCTTTTTTTGGTATTCTTCCAAATCAAAGTTGTAGAATAGTGGCTTCTTTATAATTATAATTATTTTTGAGACACAGTCTTGCTATGTACTTCAGGCTGACCTTGACTCACTATGTGGCCCTGGTTGGCTTCAAACTCACAATGATCCTCCTGCCTCATGCTTCTGAGCTCTGTGATTACAGGTGTGTGCCACCATGCCCAACTATTTTAATAAAAATTTTCTAAACAGTACATAGTTCATGAGTACTTTGCACATTCTAAAACAGATCTTTCACTTCTTTTTGGTTATAAAAATTGATCCATCATGTATTTAATTTAGTCTACCTACCATCAGTACATCTTTCAGATTATTAGGCTCCTTTGTTCCTATATTTAGCAAATCTTATGAATGCTACCTACACATTCCAAGCTGCTTACTCATTCATTTTCTGTACCTAACACATCCTAAGGAATGCATTCACTTCATTCTCTGCTCTCTTATTACAACAAATGCACACTACATTAATCAGGCTTTAAGTATTTTCTTCATCTACTCAGTTAAATCTATTCACATTACTATAATGTTTTGCATTATTTTTTTCACCTTGCCATTTGTCACTTTTCTTCTAGTACTGGTCTTTTTTGAAAATACAATAGGAGTATTTTGTACAAATTTTCAAACTTAATCAAACTTAGTTATGTGTATATTTCCATTTTGATATTGACTTCAGGTGATAAAATATATCTCTTCTTACTTTATATTTCTGGAAATCAAGCCTTTACAATTATTTTTATGTAAATATAATATCCTTAAAATTTTTATGAGATGAGAAAAAACAATCTTCAGCCTTCTTTCTTATATAGTCTATTTGACACTTGAGACTCCCTAAATATTCTCTCATGCCACATGTGCACTAGAGATCAGCAGTTATTGTACTGAGCACAATAAATCGACAGGCTGGGAAACCTTTTGCATCTAATGACTATATATAAAGTTCCAGGGCTGATCTGAAATGCTAAAATTCTCCCATCAAATGTTCCTCAACATAACTTTTCATGACCAGCCTTTCCAATAAAGATCAGAGGAGTTAGAGAACTAAACTGAACCAGAGTTTCATGTTTAATCATCTATCAAGTGTCTATTCTTTACTAAGTTTTGCAGTTCACGACTGTGGCACACAGCACAAAGGATGAAAGATTACTCAGAGTCAATGTCCAATTAATTCCAGGAAGACCCAGAGGAACTGCCCTTAACCAAGACCCCTCAGTGTGAGAGTCTCATGGAGTCAGCCCCAAACTGAAGCTTCTGTGGCTTTTTGATAGAAGCAGGAAGTAATGATAAAGGACAAAAAAAGGATGTTTGTGCAGGAATTCATACAGGGGACAGGGGAAGGACAGGGGAAGGTCAGGGTGGTCTGGTAAATGATTGACCTTAGGGCCAATCTAAGTGATACATTGTAGTATGGTGAGGAGAGGCCCATAGCATTCATTCCTTAAGGCAATGTGTTTTCATCTTACTTGGACTTGTGGCCCTATGGGCTATCTTTTAATCTCTAACCATACATTTTGGGAGATTCTGGGCATGTGGCTCCAAAAGTCCTTTACCTCTGCATACCTCATACATACCTCTGGCCAACACACCCTCAACAAAGCACTGGGGGAAAACAGAAGATATTAGCAGATTTTGACATTCATTTTACTGCTTTCTTGAAAACAGTTCTTACAAAATGTATTTTTTAAAAAGTTGCTCTAGATTCCATCTCTTTATTCCAGGAAAATCTTCTTTAACCCAATTATAAATTCCTAACAAGTACAGGAAAAACAGGCATATTTGTGGAAAAATGAATTTCACATATACCTGTAAGATTTGGCAAATAAAGGAGAAAAGAATAAGGCTGGACAGGGGAGCAAAGTATTTTATAAAATGCTATGTGGCTTAGATTTTATCCCTTTGAACCCAGACCTGGGCTGTACTCTAGAGTAGCCACTGGGCAAATATAGCTGAGTTCATTTAATTAGTTAAAATTAAAAAAAATTTAGTTCCTTAGATACACTAGCCAAGTTACAAGTGCTCAGAAGACATAAATGACTAGTAGCTACCATATTGACTAATGCACGTACATTTATAATATACCACAGAAAATTCTATCGGACAACATCACCCCATGAAACATGAAACATGAAAAAATTTGAGTGGAGTTTGAAATGATACAAGTATAGTTTTTCATAAATCTCTACGGAGAACTGGATAGACTGGATCAATTGGAAATGAATTAGGATATATGTCATCCAAAGCTTGCATTTGTAGAAATGAAGAATGGTGTGTGTGTATGCATGAACATGTATGAGGGACACAAGCAGAGACAAAATTGCAGACACAGTGCAGATATTGGAAGCTAAAGAGAAAGTGGGGTGCTGTAGGAACCAGCCTACAAGCTTGAACCTGACCAAGGGGTAATGAAGATGAAAAATAGACACAGAAACAAGTTAAAATCGGGGGCGGGGGAAGGAGGCTCATGTCTCCCTTTGACATAGAGCCCGAAATGACTGGCACACCTTGGCTTTATTCATTCAGACGCAGAAATGAGCGATTAGAATTCCACAGGATTCATCTGTCACCCACCTTCCACAGTACTTCTCCGGGTAAACAACTTAACCTCAGGTGTTTCTATTTTTCCCTGCAGCATATTATTATGCTCGCTTTCACATCCTCTTTCTTCTCAGCACTCACTGAGGCCAATTAGGCCTCATTCTTCCCATGTGATTTCCACAGGGTGCATCTTATTTAGGAAAAGGGACAGATATTGACTTTCTTTGAAGCAGAAAAGGCTGGAGATTGGATTTAATTTTTCTTTTCTGAGTGGGTAGGGGGTATATGTTTAGTCTATTTGACCTGACATAACAAAGTGTCACAGACCAGGTAATTCACAAAGACTAGAAATGAGATCTCACACTTCCAAAGCTGGGAAGACAGAGGAAGAGCAAGGTACCAAGATGTTTTCTTGTCTGGTGAGGGCTCAATCTCTGCTTTCATGATGGTGCCTTGACCACTCCATCCTCCAGATAGAAAGAACACTGTGGCTTCACATGGTAATAGGTGAACAAATAAAATGGGAAAAACCCCTCCATCAAGCCCTTCTATACAGGCACCAAATCCTCATGACTCAGAAGACCACACCCCACCCCCAATACTATTGCATTGGAGATTAAGTTTAAACATAAATTTTTGGAGCATACAAAAACATTCAAACCATAGAAGAGGTTTTGAGGGACATTCTAGCAAGATGTGCAATAGGCAGTTATACAGCTCTGGGGGAGTCATTTTCAAAGAGCTTGTGGGAAATGCACAAATTGTTATGTGCATCTTTCTTCCCTTAAAATAAGTGCCTAAAAGTGAAAATGATCTTTCAAAGGGCATGAATTACACGTGGGGACTTTTAATGACTATTCTGTTAGGAACAGATATTACTGATGGATATGATAGACATGCACAGTACCTTAATAGTATGCTAATGTAGTCTAGTAGTACTTTATTAGTATGCTAATATAGTTTTAAAATTCATTGATTGAGGAATTTCAGTTATATCCTCTTTGTAAAAACTGCCACAATCCTCTGATGGATTCCAGTGGCTTTGTAAATATTACAAGGTAGTAAGTATCTGCCATCTTTATCAACCCAAATTCAAGACAGGAAAATAGAAATCGTTCAAACTATTTCAAATAGACATAATTTATTATGGAGAAATAGTTACACAAGGGTTGAAACTTAGAAGAACAAAAATGGGTAAGTATGATTAAGTCAGAAACCCCTAACTGCAGAATGGCCACCAATCCTAGAGCTAATGGGGCAGAGAGTGATGTTGATTCAGAGCCAAAGAACAAACTCATTGCTGGTTGTACCATGTGAGGATGGGGAAAGGTGAGGCTGCTTTAACTGGCTCTGGGTTTTGTAAGGAATAGAGCCCTTTCGCTCGATCCCAGAAGTATGGAAAACAAGAACTATAGCTTTCCCTTGTTTCACCTTCTGATTTCAGGACTGTACCTTCTCTAGGGAGAATCATTTGAGTGGACAAATGGCTATTTTCATCATTGTCCAATAGTTTAATTAGTATACAGAGTAGTACCCCCTCTGAATTTCCAGGTAAGTAATGTAACTGATTTTTAAAGAAATACTTTATATGCTCAAAAATATCCTATAGTATATGGCCCTCGGAAGTTAACATTTTCTCAAATAGTGCTGCCATTAACAAAGAGATTTTTAAGAACACTTCTTTTTAAAATCGATTTTAGAGCTGCTTCCTGAGAAATAGATACACTTCCAAGGCGGCATGTGCCAGGTGTTTATTCTTTCAATTTTCTCAACAGAGAGATAGACTGTCTTATTGTTCCCATTTTAACAAAAGGTAACAATCACAGAGGTGGTTAATGAGCCAACGCTACCCAGAGAGTGAGAGTGCTGGGCGATCAAGTGGAAGTTTGTGGTCTCAGAAAACAAAACAAAAGCGTATGGAAATTTTTTAAACGCTAGGGCCGAAAACTATACAATTAATGGAAAAGGGACCAACATTACAGAAACAAGATGGATAAACTATTAGGGCTGGCACCCGAGGAAACAGACAAAGCAAACGAGAATACATCCGCACCAAAGCCACCCCCCCTAGCGCCCCAGCGTCTCTCCCTGGGCCTCTACCGAGAGGCGTCATTCGCGTGCGTCCAGGAGGCGGGACTTCCGGGCTACGTCGAGCCAATTCCGGCCGCGCCGGAAATCTCTGCTGAGTAAATGAGGAGGGATTTACGCCGTTTGAAACTCCGGATCTGCCTTGTGTTCCATAGTGTGGGAAGAAATATTGGGCGAGGGTTTATTCGTGAGTGACAAGATCCGGGGTAGTGATAAACAGGATTTAAGACATGGATAGTCGCTTACAGGAGATCCGGGAGCGACAGAAGTTACGGCGACAGCTCCTTGCTCAGCAGGTTCGCGGCCCGGTGGCCTTTTGTGGGGAGGGATTGCGCGTGCGGTTCCCCACCCACCCCCCCGGTCCGCTCTAGCCTTTTACCGCTGTCAAGCTCTTCCTGGTCCTGCGACTCTGATTTTGAATCTCCTTGTTTTCCACTCCCGCCGTCCCCCGAAAATTTTTTAAAAAATCTAGCAGTCATTGTGCATCTTTACGGGTCTCCCGCCAAATGTCTGGCATGGTGTGCAGGGATGGGAATGAATACACAGCCTCTTGGTCTAACGTAGTTTACGCAAGGATAAGTGACTTGTTTTCCCCTAAGTTTGTCTTCACTATTTAAATGGTCTTCTGTGCCTTTCCTTTCCTCTTGGTCTGCACCAAATTCTTGAGCTGTATTGCAAAACTATTTTATTTGGGATCCCATCCAAAGACTGCACTGGAAGTGGCTTGAATGCAAATTTTAGATTATGCGCCTTATACACAGTATCCTTGTCATCGTCCGCAGTTAGTATTTGAATTCTTACTCTGTGTCAATCATAACCTTTGAAACAGGTAGCATTGTCATCATTGAATAATGAAATAGGGTTCAGAGGTTTAGTGATTTTTAAATCCTGATCACTCACCTGTTGCCAGGAAATTGAACCCAGGTGTCTTCCAAACGTTTGCCCTTCACTGCTTCTTTTGGTTGAAATCTGCTGATTAGCAGAATACACGTGCAGAGAATACAGATTATGCCAGTTCTACTTAAAACCAGAAGCAGTTTCCCATTTTGCCATGCAGATCAATAAAGGTGGTGGGCAGAAATGTTAATAGGGTTTAATGAGGCATTTTGCTGTTTTTAAGCATTAAATCTTGGTTTTAGTAATGGTAATCTGACTGAAACGTATCCTCCTTTATGCGGTGATAAGTAGATTTGTGGTATCCTTTTTAAAATGTGGGAATTTGGAATCATCTGTTCCTGGTCTTTTTTGACGTTAAGATCTTGGATAAGTCAAGTATCTTTCTAAATCATCTCAACTTATTTTACCAGACCTTCGGAAATGTTCAGTGACTCTTTGTTGATGACACGTTAAGATGTCTTACTCTTTGATTTTATTCCTTGATCCTAATTCAGAGCTCTATTTGACTCAGTACATCATAAAACAATTATTTATTGTCTTACATTGAGCAAATATCAGAGACACTAGCAGATACTGCCAAATGAACTCCGAATAATACCCTCCAAGAGCTTACAAAGTTTATAAAATTGATAAGGGCTGCCATTTATTAAGTGCCTTCTACTTATGTGTCAGACGTGGCTAAGCTTTTAATATTATCTTTGATACAATGAAGTCATATGTCCTGCCTTTTATAGATTAAAAAGTGAAGCTCAAAAAATTTAAGTTACATTTTCAGTGCTACAAAACTGTTAAGTTTGCAAGCTGCAGTTTTAACATAGACCTGTCCATGCTCTTTCTAGTAGAGTAGGTGCTTCCTGGTCTTCGGTTTGAATATAAACTCCAGTAAGAATGCCTGATAGAATCAACAACAGACATCCACTTCACCAGCTTATTTTAATCTCTGCTTATTTTTGTCTACATGAACAAGGCAAACTAACTTTCTACTTTCTAGAGCATGATTTGTACCATACATACTTTATGATTTTAAAAATTGTCCTCTTTCTGAATTCTATTCTTTGTGGCACGGCTCAGAGCTTCATGATGAAATCTGTACTGATTCCTTGGCTAAGGTTCTTCCAAGGAGTTTTATTATATGTTGATTGTCCTATAGATTATAAACAGTTCGCTTGTACAGTCTTTGCATTTGACTTCTGTTGGTTTAATCTGCCCTCAGATTTCTTCTTGCACAAAGTTAGCTGTTAATAAACATTTGTTGATTGATGTAATATCCAAGTGGAGCACAATTCAGTATGTGTCATTTGCTTTTGTCTTCTACGTAAAGACACTGTTGTACTAAGTAGGCCCTGACCATGATGGTGGCAGTTGTTGCTACCATCAGCAATTCACACCAGGTTTTTATTTTAACTTGTATCTTTGTTTCAAAAAATCATGTGTGCCTTCGAAAGATACTGATTGGCATAAATGATTCAAATAATGTAGTTGGTATCACCATAATAGAAAATCTGACTTGATCTAGTCATTCTGCAATTTATAAAAAATGTTTGGCTATTTGATGATTGTTTATATATAATCAGAATTTTGATTTAAAGCATTTCTCTTGTAATACATCCTAATTTAGATCCCACTAGGATATCTCATTCTTTTATTTACATGAAGCATCTACTTTCAGTTAGGCATTATTTTGGGTGCCAACAGGACACATAGGGTTCTTCCTTTCAAGGAGTTTACATTTTATTGGGGGATAAGGAAACAAGAATGGATTTATACAAATAATTGGAAGTTATGGTAGAGACCATGAAATGGTACCAATAGAAAATAAAAAGTAAGTCAGAGATGGTGGTATGAGCTTGTAATCCCAGCTACTTGGGTGGTAAAAACAGGAGGATCACAAGTCTAGGCCAGCCTGGGCAACATAGCAAGAGTTTGTCTCAAAATACAAAGGGCTGGGGATATACCACAGTACTCCCTGGGTTCAGTTTCCATAAGCCCAGAAAGGAAATAATAAACAAATGTAAAATCATTGAAAGTTGTACTAAGTGTTATGAGACAGTACAGAAATAAGGAGGCAGAAAGAATAATGAAAGGGGCCTCCTTATCCTGTATAGTATATTAGTCATGAAAGGGAAATAATTTGTACTCTTTAAGATACCAGTTAAGGAGCTAGTCATGGGAAGAAAGAAAGCATCCCACTAGAGGAAGTGGATATGTTTTCCCTGCCTGAAAAGAAAAGGAGTCAGACAGATTTTATGGAGGAGTTAAGATTTTAGGAAAGTTGATATACTGGAAGAGATTTATTGTTGGAGAAACTTGAGGGCAAGCATGTGAAGTGGGTAGACGAAAAGATAGTTGGGTAAGGTAAGGCTGGTAATTTAAGTTAAGGCTGGTAATTTGCTGTTCTGATATTTTATTATGCCCCTTTCCCCCTCCTGTGCTAACAAGACTAATGCAGATTTCCTCATTCCCTTCTTGAGCTTAAAAATATTAAATCATTCTTCATGGAGTGCTACACTCTTTAGTGTAAATTTGAAAATTTTCCATGAATTGATCCTGATTTTCCTTGGCTAACCTTTGTTTACATTTGTTACACTTTGCAAAATTTCCCCAGCTGCCAACCAAAGTTGACATTACTGTTTTTAAGCCATTATTAAAGTTTACAATTGTGTCTATAATTATCATAGAAACTTAGCTTAAGTAAAACTGGATAGATTTTGTTAGAGCAGGGGATCATTGACAGTATGTGAGCTTAATGTGGTATTACAACCTTATATAAACCATGTTATATAAGCCATGTTAAACCTTATATATACCATGTTAGCCGCTTTTTTAGGTTATTGCTACTACTGCTAAATCTTGTTTTTAAATTACTTTAAAAGTAGGAAATTAAATGTTTTAATTTCAGATATACCTGGGAGTATAAAACGCTTTCAGCTGTGAGTCATTCTTAAAATAACATGGTTTTTTTTCCAAGATATTTCCAGTTTGTCTTTAAAATTTTTTTTATTACTATAGGTTTGTGATAATATAATGATTATAGTCAGCTTGGAGGATTAATATATATACATGTCACATCTTGATTATTTTTACTCATCCTATCTCCATTCTTCTTCAGATCCCCTTCCCATCTCTACAGAGCCTACCTCCCTGTTTCTTGACATAGCTCTTTTGTTTTGCTCTTTAAATTATTTATATTTTGTGTCTTTCATATTAGAAAAACCATGACTTTATTAGAGAAACTACTTAGTATTATGGTCTGAAAATTAATTAGTTTTTCGACAGATGCTTCAACTTTATCCTTCCTTATGGCTGAGTAATACTCCATCGTGTATGTGTACCACTTTTTTTTTTTTTTTAATGTATTCATCTGTTGCTGGGCGTAAAGGCCACTTCCATGATTTAGCTATTTTGAGTTGTGCTGCTATAAACATGACTATGTATCACTTTGGGGAAGATACCCAGGAGAGGTATAGCTGGGTCAAATGGAATTTCTATTTTTAGTTTTTTTGCGGAATCTCCAGGCTGATTTCCATAGTGGTTGTACTAGTTTACTTTCTGACCATCAATGTAGAAGGACTGTTTTTTCTCACTAGCATTATTATTATTATTATTTTAACATAATAGCCTTTCTTACTGGAATAAGGTGGAATCTGTATTGTTTTGATTTACATTTCTCTAATGGCCAAAGATGCTGAACATATTTTCATATATTTATTGGGCATTTGTACTTCTGCAGAGTTGCTGTTCATTTCAGTTACCCAGTTTTGAGTCTTTTATTTTTGGGATCTAATTTTTTTGAATTCTTTGTATATTCTAGATATTAATCCACTGTTTGAGGAGTAGCTGGGAAAAAACCTTTCCCATTCTGTAGGTTGTCTTTTCACTCTGATGGTAATTATCTTTGCTCATTCCTGCATTTCATTATGTATCTGTTGCCCATTACTTTTCCCCTTGTTCACTATTCCCCTTAGTAGGTGTATTCTTCCCTTTGGGCTCTTTGGTGGTTGTTAGCCTTATTGTCATCCTCAAAGATTTCTTTTTGCACTTTCTGTAGTGTTGGTTTGGTGGTCATTTTTTTTTTTTGGTACTGGGGATTGAACTTGGGACTCAGCACCTTGCGTTTGCGAGGCAGGCAGCAGCACCCCTGAGCTAAATCCCCGGTCCTGGTGGTCATTTTTTAAGATGCTCTTTGTCATGGAAAGTCTTTATTTCTCCATCGATTTTGAAAGATAATTTTGCATAATATATTAATCTGAGTTCAAAGTTGTTCTTTTGTGTTTTTTATTTTTTTGACTCATTTAGCATTGGATTTTGGTTCCATAGTTTTTAAAGTATCTTTGAGTATGTGATCTGCTCTATCAACTTTATCTTCTAGGTTTTTTTTCAATTATTTTTCTACAATATATTTCTTTTTTTATTTTCTAGTTTTCACACTCTTCACAGTGGTTATTTCTGCTGTCCATACTTTCAGTAATTTTTTATTTTCTGAATTTGTTTGGTATCTTTTCTCTTTGATATCTTCACTAATATGGTCATTCTTATTTAGTGTGTCTTTGTTAGTTCACCCAACATTTTGTCTGCGTCTTCTTTAAGCTTGCTAATCATTTTATCAGTTAAGTGCCATTATATGTTTAGTCACATTGGATCTGTTTCTTTTATTCCTTCAGACATTTCTAACTTTAAAAAAATTTTTCTTTACATCAGCACACATGGATTAGCTTTTGGGCAGGTACGAAGTTTTGGAGGCATTTTGTTTCCTTGTTTTCTTATATTTCTATTTGTGTGTGTGTGTGTGTGTGTGTGTGCCCACGCTTGCATACATGCTGAATTAGAGTAGAAAACCTTTTACTAGTGTGAAGATCTCTTTAGGTAGTGCGTATTCTCTATGATATGATCTTTGCTTTGGTTATGTTTAGGTATTTATGTACCTCATCAAACTATTAGCATAATAGGATTAGACCCAGTCACTGTGTTGCAAGGAGAGAACCACTATGAGTTATATCTGCATCTATACAGCCAGCCATATATCAGTCATGTAAATTAAGACTTGTTTTTAACAATTTCACCTTTTTTCTGTGACCCAAAAGTACTGTGATATAGTACTACTGAGCCAGAAAATACGATTTCTGAGCAAAAATGGTTTTTCCTGCGGCTAGCTGACCTGACAAAGAGCCACCCCCAGCTCATACCCCCTCCCAAACCAAACACATGTCCTCCTTCATTGTCCTTTGTTCTCAGGAAGTGTCTGTATCCAGTGTACTTTTCTATCAAATCGTGTGAACTAAATGTAACTTCCTCAACCAATGAACTAATGATAAATACTTTGCTTCTGTATCCCCACCCCTCTTCCCTTAGCCCATATAAACCTTGTTCACTGCCAGCTCCGGACTGATTGCTTTGTGGAGAAATCCCCAACCAGTCTGCTGGCATAATAAACTTGCTTCCAACCTCCAGATGCATTCTCGATTCTTGGCCTGATCTCTGTACCACTAACAGCTGCCACACTGTGGACTGTAAATCTGCTGTTATACTACTCATAGGTAGGTTGGGAGAGAATAAAGGGAAGAAGGAAAGGAGGAAGAAAAGAAATAACATCAAATAAAAAGAAAAGAGATTGGACTTTTGATTTTTTTTTAAATAACTAGAGGAGTAGAAGGGTAATAGAAGGTTTGAGAGAAGATTTGTGGGGTTAGGATAAGGGATGCAGAGAGAGGGAAGTGTAACTGGAGAGTAAGGGAAGCTGTAAGAAGATCAGAACCTGTTAATATGTTGATAATGCACTTGTGTTTGAATCCTCTATACACAATTTTGGGGGAGGGTTATCCTGAGTTGGCCACGAAAGATGCTATTTAGGTTAAAGAACTGGTTAGTTCTTATTCTCCTTTTCACATATACAGATCCCCCCCCGCATATCTATATATGTATATATATACACATATATGCATGTATATATGTGTATGTGTATATATGTATGTGTATATATAAGATGAAAGGATAAAAAGAAAAGAAAGAGAAAAGAATAAGAAAAACTACACAGTTACAAGACACAAAATTAAATCATCTCTCAGTCCTATTTATACTGCAGTTTGGATTCAACCAGTGTGTTCTTCCACCAGCTTTCACAAATGGAGCGGCTTTACCATGGATAGGGTTTGGACAGACTGCTGGGTCTGGCTCCTTCCTCCACCTCCACATTCCACCTAGCATTTGCCTTTTCTTCTGTCTTTAGCAGACCACTGCTGACCCCGCACCCGTCCCCCGCCCCCAACCTCACTGAGCCAGCTGTCTTAGGATTTTTTTCTCCTGCCTGCCTGCGAGTGAGAGGCTTGAGGGTCTCCACAGACCTCTGCTCCCCAACCTCCCTTTGCAGGCAGTGTTCTGCCTAGTTTCAGTTTCATTCTTGTGGGCATGACATCTGGAGGTTCTGGCCTTTGTTTTAGGGTGGGTCACTTTCATTTGAGTCAAAGTGAGGTGAAGGAACAGTGTGCCCAGTCTTTCACTGGTTTCCTAAGAGGCTTTCTCAGTCTCTGCTCCCTTTCTTTTGCAATAATCTCTGCCTCTTTGGTCACTTTTATAAGACCCCATGTAAGTGCCGAGCATCATGCCCTCTGGCTAAGACACTTCACTGGCTCTTCACCCACATCACTCCACATTCCACAAAGCATCACTTTCCAGCCTGTGACCTCTGGTGCCCTGGGGCTCACAGTGCTTAGCAGCCTTTGGCTGGGGGTAGGAAGTTCCCATGTGGGCGCCAAGGAGTGTGTGTGTGGTGGGCAGCATATGTAGCAGGCACACAACTTGCTGTTGTTTGGGGGAACAGTGAGAGAGTGCCTGTTTTGGGACTGCTTGAACAACTTACGGAGATTTTGCCTTTTGCCACTGCTGCCCACCCTTTTACCACCTTGAAGCATGGCTTTCCCAGCATCCATCTCTGTGCCCTTGCTCCCTACTTTCCCAAGGGTCTGCAGCTCATTCTCTCCTCTGGATGATTCCCTGGCTTTCAGTTTCTCTGGTGCCCTCTTCTGCGAATATCACTTTCTAGGTTTCTTCTTTCAGAGGGAAGGGTGAATAGACTAGGAGCCTGTCTTAGGGATCCAAGCCAAGGCTGCTCCCTCCTTCAGGGTATTAGATCCTCTCCCAAGATGGCATGTTTATTGGATTGGGGTGAAGGAGTGCTGTGATCCAGAGTCAGCTTATCTTCCCTTTCTAACCCCCCCTAATTCTGGACTTGCTCAGGTGGGCTTCTCCCTAAGGTCACCTTTTTCTGTCTGGCTTTGTTTGCCTTCCCTGTTTCTGAATACTCAGACACCCCAGTGCACATCCTCCAAGCTTCCTTCATGCACCTCCTCTTCTAGTCAGCTGTGATGGGTCCCCCTCCATTTTGTCTGTTTAAATGATTAAACTCTGTAGGAAATGCTTATCCAGTGCATTGTGATTGAAGTTTTGATTTTTGCCTCTTCTCAGTTGGGAGCTGAAAGTGCTGACAGCATCGGAGCTGTGTTAAATAGCAAAGAGGAGCAGAGAGAAATTGCTGAAACAAGGGAAACTTGTAGGTCAGTTAAATCATTTTTTAAATATTTAATATTGTGAAAGGATCATTGTTTTAATAAACAACCCTAGGTATGCATATGTTGTTATAAAAAGAATCAAAGATTTAAAAAACATTAGTTGATTTCTTTGTTTTGTTCTTTTCTGGGCTGGGGATCAGTCCCTGGACCTCATGCATGCTAGGTAAGTGCTCTACCACTGAACTATATTCTCATCCCAGAAACATTCATTTTTAGTGTCAGTTCGTGACTGATAAAATACATATTTTTTGAATATTTTAAGTTCCCATTTATAAATAATTAGAAATGGAATGTTAGACTAAGAAATAGCTTATGTACAAGAAATAAATTTTTAATTATAAATTGTAATTTTATGAATTTATAGAATCAAATTTATCCTAAAAGTGATATTCAGTTAATAGTTTAGAAACCATTTCAGAAATTTTCTGGTATTTTAGTTTATCAACATGGACATCAGCTTTGCTTAAGACATTAAAATAATATGTAATGTAAAAGTTTCTTTTTATAATATGTCACATATAGCAGCTTTTTACTTTCTTATAAAGTAAGGATTGTCAATCAGGTTCTGTAAATGTTTGAGTAATTTATAAACTGGGTAAACAAATGCTATTTAATCAGGAAAAAATTACCTTGTTCTGTATTACTTAGTATTACAAGTAGATGCATGTACACATATTGTATGTGATTCTTCTGTTTTACTTCTCAGGGCTTCCTATGATACTGCTGCTCCAAATGCAAAACGTAAGTGCTTGGATGAAGGAGAGCCAGATGAAGACAAAGTGGAAGAATATAAGGTAAGTAAAACATGAGATAGTTTTATGGTGAAGAAAAAAATAAACCCTTACAATAAATTCACATCCAGGAAAACAAATTTGATGGAAAGCTGAATATGAAATATGCTAAAGTAATCATCAGTACTATATGCTATCAGTTAATTAAGGCCTTTATCAGTTTCCTCATCTTATGTGTTATATGGTTAAAATTAAGCTATACATTTAGCATTATATGTATATATATATTTAGCATTATATATATATATATATTTAGCATTATATATATATATATATATATATAGGTATATACATAATGGCTGGTAAACACTGGCAATAATTTTTTTTTTTCTTCTTTTGGTACCAGGGATTGAACTTGGGACCTTGTGCTATTGAGGCAGGCGCCAGAACTATTGAGCTAAATCCCTGGCCCAATGTTTTTTTTAAATGAATGAAGAGATAAGTGTATCAAAGACTTTGGATAGTTGGATCAGATTTTGAGAGGCTGCAGTAGTCTTTTGTGTTGTATTATTCCATGTTAACAATATAGGGTAGAACAACTAAAACATTTTTAAAACTCATGAGCACTGTTTCTGAAAGAGGCCCAAGAAGAACCCAACCTCTAAGCTTGTAGTTGTAATGTTTATTTAAAAAGAAGGTATTATGGACAAAAATCTACCTCAATTTTTTCAAGTTAATTGTATGTATTTATTAGAAAAAGAAATGTATAGATTCAGTAAATCTCTAGCAAGTTTTGTGATACATCACCTAATCTCATATACTAGAATACCATCTCATGTGTTAACATTTTGATAACATGGTACCTATATGTAACTTAAATGTTTGAGATTATATTAGATTGAACCATAGACAGTTGTTGATATTCTTAACATTTTTGACCTATAAAACAGCAGTTTTCTAATAAAAATGAAATAGCCCTGTTAGTGGTCATATATTTCATGACTCAAGCTACATTTTAATATTTATAATATTATATGTGAAATACATAATTCTAGACAATTCAGTCAACAAAAATAAGTCATAGGTAATTTTTATTCATGATAATGATGAGAAAATTTTTTCTAAATATCAAGTTAGATCTAATGATGAAAAAGCAGAAACTTTAAACATTGTCTTTTAGGGAAATAAAATATAATTCTTAAGATATAATTAAATAACCTATATATAATAAATGTTTCCTTAATCTTCCTTTTTCAAGGATGAACTAGAAATGCAACAGGAAGAAGAAAATTTGCCATATGAAGAAGAAATTTACAAAGATTCTAGTACTTTTCTTAAGGTAAAATGAATAATTTCCTTTTTTTTTGTTTTGGTACCGGGGCTTGAACTTGGGACCTTCTGCTTGTGAGGCAGGTGGTGGAACCACTGAACTAATAATTTTCAAGTCTTAACAGCTCTTCACATTTATACTCTGAACCATACTTATCTTTAGTATCTTTTCAGTTATTCAGGGGTCACTATTAAAAAATGAGGATTATTTAAATTATCCATGAAACATTCTTTTGCTATTTGCCTCTATCGGATGAGATAATGGTGTCATTTTAGTAGTAGTTCAAGAGTAATGAAGTCATTCTAGTTATGTTTTCAGATTTTATTACTTTTTAAGATCTATCATTTCATATGTTCCCATAATAAAAAACAGAGTACAGTGTTAGTGTATCTGCTTACCAAAGTACATGTTGTTAATTTAATTTTGACTTTTTCTTTAGGGAACACAGAGTTTAAATCCTCATAATGATTACTGCCAACATTTTGTAGACACTGGACATAGACCTCAGAATTTCATCAGGGATGTAGGTATGTCAGGCTTTTCTGGACTGTGCTATTGCTACCCATTGATTAAATGCATGTGAAATATTCATTTTGCAGATTATTTCTGACAAAATACTTTTTCCAGCTTTCTGTTCTCAGTACTTCCCAGTACACTTTCCTTTTCCTTTGAGCAATGTTACTTTTTTCTTTCCTTCTTTTTAAGATAACTTATATACTATACAACTTACCTATTTAAAAGGGTATAACTCAAAAAAAGGGTAAAATGCAGTGCTTTTTCAGTGCATCCACAAGGTTGTTTGCAACCATTACTAGAATGTCGTAGAACACTTTCTTCTCCTTTAGGAAAGCCTTGTACTTTTCACCATTTATTCCTGATACCCTCCCTCTCTTCTGTCCCCCTAGGCTTAATCTTTTTCTATGAATTTGCCTGTTCTGGACATTTCATGTAATTGGAATTGTACGATATGTGTTCTTTTGTAACTGGTTACTTTCATTTAGCATATTTTCAAGGGTCATTAATGCTATAACATCTATTGGTCCATCATTTGTTATTGCCAAATAATATTCCATTGTATGTGTGGGTGTGTATACCCTGTTTTGTTTACTCATTTATTTGGGTTTGCTCTTTTGGTGTATTATGAACAGTGCTGTTATGGATTTTTTGGGAGAGGCAGTATTGGGGATTGCAGCCAGGGCCTTCTTGCTGAGCTACAGCCAATAACCCTCATCCCCATTTCTTTTGAGATATGGTCTCACTAAGTCACCCAGGCTGGGTTTGAAATTGTGAGCCTCCTGCCTCAGCCTTCTTCAGTACTGGGATTATAGGCATGCACTACCATACCCTGCTCTGTTATGGATATTCATGTACAAGGTTTTCTTTGGAGATATATTTTCATATCTCTTTATGATATATCTAGAAGTAGAATTGCTGGATCATTCAGTAATTGTTTTTTCATTTATCAAATTTTTCTTCTCTTTTTTAACTTGTATTGTTTTCTTTGTTGCTTTTTTTTAGTTGTTTTTCCCATGTGGTAATTTTACATTTAACATTTTGAATAACTATCCAAATATTTTTCAAAGTAGCTGTGCGATTTTACAGTCCTACCACCAGTGTATGATTCCAATTTCTTCACATCCTGAATATTGTTATTGTCTGTCTTTTTAATTATAGCCACATTAATGAATGTTAAGTAATCTCCCATCATGGCATTGATTTGCATTTTCTTTTCTTTCTTTTTTGTTTTTGGTACCAGGGATTGAACTTGGGTCCTTGGGCTTGCAGGGCAGGCAGTGGGACCACTGAGCTGAATTCCCAGCCCCTGCATTTTCTTAATGACTAATGATATATTTAGCATTTTTTAACAGGTATATTGTCATTTAAATATGTTCTTTGAAGAAGTGTCCAGACATTTTGCTTATCTTATAAATTTTCTTTTGCCTTTTTACTATTGAATTAAAAGAGTTCTTTGTATTTTCTGTGTGGGTACATATATATATATATATATATATATAGTATTCATATTCTTAAATATTTTGGGGGCAAGTCTCTTATCAGATGGATGATTTGCAAATATTTTCTCCCATTCTATTAGTTTTTTACTTTCTTCATAGTATCTTTTACAACCTCAAATTTTAATTTTTTGTTGTAAATCCAATTCAGTTTTTCTTTTGTCACTTGTAAACAACATTATTCCTAAAGTAGAAACTAATGTTTTTCTAAGCAAAAGTCAGATGTAGCCTAAAAAGTTGTGAGAAATTGTATACCCATATTTAGATATCAAACTTTCTGCTCTTAAGGCCCTTACCTAAGACAAAGAAAATGTACGTATAAGGCTAATAGAGATTGAGAAAAAGCTGCTGTATGAATGTAATTTTAGTCACGTGGAGGTTTAAATTCAAAATTAAGGAGTAAAACACTTTAGATGGTAGTAAAAAAGAACCACTGAACATTGTTGAAGATAACATGGTAAGGGAATTTAGGAGAAAGACTTAGATAGAATACCTGATTTATCCAAGATCTTAATGTCAAAGGGACAAGGAACAGAGTTGATTGCAAATTTCTACATTTTAAATAAGGTATTACAATCCTGTTCATCAAATAATAAAGGAACATAGATTTCAAATTTTTTCAGGTTGTACCTTCTGTTTTATAGGTGAATGTTGCTAATTTTACTGTGTTGAAACCTGATGATAGTACAGTTTTCAAACTTTATTTGAAATGTGATCTATACTAGTGACTGAGGAAAACTTACAAACATTTTCACATTCTTGTGACTAAAAACTTTGAGTCAAGTGTTTGGCACATACCTGTAATCCCAGCACTCTTAAGAGGCTGAGGCAGGAGGGTTGAAAGTTCAAGTCCAGCTTGAGCAGCTTAGCGGTGTGATGAGATCCTGCCTCAAAAATTTTTTTAAAATGGGGATGTGAGGGATGTAGTTCAGTGCAAAGGCCCTAGGTTTAATCCCCAGTACTGGAAAGGGGGCAGGTGGAGAAAAAACTACCTCTTCCCTAACCTGACTTTTAGTTTTTAAATTAAGAAATTTAAGTGGCTTTCATTGCTGTGAATATACTTTTGGTGGGGGTGGGGGCATAAAGAACAAAGTATGGTAGAAAGGAAGTAGTCATTTGTTTTTAAAGATGTGAAAGTGAATTGTGTGTATTTGCTTTCTTGGGAGGAATCATAACTCTTCATTTCACTGATATGAAGTGTTGGATTGAAATTTAGAAGTTACTATTTTTTCCCCACAGGTTTAGCTGACAGATTTGAAGAATACCCAAAACTGAGGGAACTCATTAGGCTAAAGGATGAATTAATAGCTAAATCTAACACTCCTCCTATGTAAGTATTTTTTAAAATTACTTTTTCCCACATTGGGCTTAATGTATCAGCCTGTTTTTTCTATAACTAACTTTTTATTAAAAAAATAAAAAGAATCAGCACCTATATAAGATTAGTCTATTCCTTCATTTCTTCTTTATAGTAAAATATATCAGTTTGAAACTGTGGTACTGAGTAATAAGTTGGTTCTCATTCAGTTGTTCTTCAGTTTTCCAAATAATTTGCTTGAAGTACTTCTAAATATTTTTTCTTCCTTAGAAAATTACTCATGTTTATTCTTGATAATATCATTAAATGACTTCTCATAAAATAATTTGGATTAGTGATTCATTTTAACCTTTGCTAAACAGAATATTATTTTTTCTTACAAATATGTGTAAAGCCCTTAAAATTGGAGACTGTTTTATATTTAGCTTACTTTGAATGTTTTGTTCATTTAATGATTTAATAAAATGTATGAGTTATTAGAATAACAAATAAATGTCAATATGTGAGGAAGTCTCAGTGTAATTGAATATTCATCCTACTTAATATTCTTAGTGAAGTGTGATGGCACATGTCTGTAATCCCAGCACTTCAGGGAGCTGGAGTGAAGAGGATCATAAGGTCAAGTCCTGTTGGGACAACTTAGCAAGACCTTGTCTCAAAACAGAATGAAAGAAAGGGAGAAGGAGTGGGAGGGGGAGAAGGTGAAATATTTTAGCTAAAATATTTTAGTTAAAAATATTTTCATATTATGTGAAAATAACTTCAGTAAAGTCTATATAGTAGTGTGAAAATACTTATAAATGTTTTTACTTATTAGTAAAGTAATAAAATTGTGTGCATAGTTGGAAACTTTTAGAAGGAGGATTTGAAACTTAGAGAAATAATTTTTTTATCCTAAACAATTGAGGGAAAAAAGTAATAACAATATTTCTTAGAAAATTGAGATGACAGTAGAAAGTGAATCAGAGACCCTCATCCGAGTATAGATTTTTCAATGTAAATAGAATGTATTCTGGATGTTCATGTGGAATAATACAATTTTCACTTTGCAGTGTAATTATGTCCACGTCCAAGGAATAATATTGGTATATGGTACAATGTCTGCAGTGAAGAAAGATGACCCTTCTATAAACAGACATATCATAATTAGCTCATTGTTACTTTTAAATAATGGTTAGTAATATTTGAGAAATTTCTTGCGTTATCATCTGCAGATTATTTGAAAATCTTTTTTTTTTTTGCTTTAATCAAATAGGTACTTACAAGCAGATATAGAAGCTTTTGATATCAGAGAACTAACACCCAAATTTGATGTGATTCTTTTGGAACCTCCTTTAGAAGAATATTACAGAGAGACTGGCATCACTGCTAATGAAAAATGCTGGACTTGGGATGATGTATGATGAAACTTTCTACATTGTAATGAACTATTAACTTTTCAAATGAGTATGTTCATTTAATCAAAAACAGACTATAAATGTCATCCCTACTTTTGTAGGGATTATAAATATACATTTATATATTAGATGTGAAAGTCTAATGTACATTGGTCAAGAATACATTCATTCGATTCTTCTTTTGAGGCTGTAGAGGACTCACAGGCTTGGTCTTGGAGTCCTTGGCCATAAGCTAGGAAAGTCTAAAAGCAGACAGAATGATAACTTAATTTGCAGTTAATGAGTTTTAGTAAACATTAGGAAGGGAGAGAGAAGAGAGAGTGAGAATGAAAATGAATAGGAATGTATCGCAATTCCTACTTTTTAAGGAACGTACAGTACGATGCAGTATGGGTGAAAAAAGAAGCATATAATTTTGGTATAATTATTTTGATAAAGTTGTATTTTCCTAAATAAAATTAAGCTAACTTCAATTGGTTTCATAAAATATTGGTTTTTATAACCAGTAGCAAAAATAACAGAACACTACTTTTGATTAGGCAATGTACTGGATTCAATAATGAGGAAGAGTTAGTACTAACCCTTAAGGAGCACACAGTTTAATAGAATAAACATTAACCTAACCTAGTAACTGTTGAGTCAGTAGTGGAGTGCTGCATAAAATGATATGAGAATAACTGACCAAGCCTAGGAAGATGGCACTTAGCATAGAGATGGTGACACCTGAATGGTGTAAATAGATGAGCTGGAATTGTCCAGAAGAAGAAAGATGTGGTACAGGGATTCAGGCAGAAGCAACGGCAGGAACAGAAGGGATGAAGGCAAAAGCCGGTCTCAGGTTTGTGGGTATAGGAGATCTTTTTGTTGGTTGTTACTATTCAAATGCAGACTGGAATTATCTTGAGATGATGTTTTAAGGAGCGTTGATTTTTATTCTGAAAACATTACAAAACCTTTCAAGGTTTTAAACAGTTCAGTAAGAACAAATTGGTGTATGGATGCTGGGCGAGAGGAAAAAAAGTCTGGGAAAAGAAGGACATTTAGAAGACTCTTGCTATTACTTATTTGCAAGAGACAAATTATGCAGAAACCCAGGCTCCAGTGATCCTCCTGGCTCAGCCTGCCAAGTACATAGCTGGGACTATAAGGGTGCAGTGCTATACCTGGCTTATACTATATTTTAATTCTGCCATTAATTTGGGGCTCATTTAACCTCTTTACATTTCAGTTTCTTTTTATGTAAATAATAATACATACATTAGCTATCGAATGTCTTGAACTCTATCTTACAAACTTCCATTATTCTGTAAATGCAGTTCTCTGTAAGTTCTTCCCTTTTAAACACAAGTGTTTGTATGTATGTTTCCATAAATAAATAAATATATATATATATATATATATAGTTTGTATATAAAAATAAACTGCAATCTAGCAAGTGATTTTTAAGGATAAAAATTTGTTTTCCATTATAAGTGCATGCAAAGAACAATTCTACTGAGAATTCTGATGTCTCAATGGTTGTTTATTTGGATATTGGATGAATGGGAAACAAATAGTTTTGTGTAACATTGTTTTGTTTTCTTACAGATAATGAAGTTAGAAATCGATGAGATTGCAGCACCCCGATCATTTATTTTTCTGTGGTGTGGTTCTGGGGAGGGACTGGACCTTGGAAGAGTGGTAAGATATTTTTTAAAGTGTATTCTTAAAATCATAGTATAAAAAAAATATATATTACATAAGAAGCTTGAGGATTAATGTTATTTTATAACATTTCTTGAATAGTTTTAAAATACTCAGAAGCAAAATATGCTCAGGAAAAGAATATAAGGTAGTACCCCTAAGTCAGTTACTAGTTCTAGGGATGAATGTAGGCCTTTCAAAATATAATTTGTTACAACTACAGGAAGAGAACAGTTTGGACATTTGAAACTCCAAATTACAGCATTAAAATGAGTTGCTTATTGTCAGACGTGGCTTGTTTTTATAAGGTGCTAAAAAGTGTTACTCTGAATAGCATTGACTTCTTTTAGTATATGTGCTGCCAAAACGAGCACAGCATGGACTCTTGAATTTTAAATGGAAGCCAGATCAAATTGGAAAAGGAATAGCATCTGGAACACATAGTTTGAATAAATGAGAGTGAAAAAGAAGTTAATAACAGCTCAATTTATTTTAAGTATCTTATATTCAGTTATGTTTCAGAGCGTTCCTTTTTTTTTTGGTTAGAGTATTTTGCCAAAAAGAAACCAAATAAAGTGTTTTAACCAAGAATAATGGGAATATTGCACCTGGTTATCCAGGAGTTTCAATTTACCTATTATCCAACAGTGAGACTTGGGGCAAGAAGGTGTTTACTCTGTGGGTCACAGTTATATCACGTGTTGGATGAGAATTTCCATTTTTAGGACATAATACTTGTTATATAGCAGATGATCTCATTTAATCATAACTAATCTGAAGAGAGTCCATTTGACAGGTGAAGAATTTTTAAGGAGGATCATATGAGGTAATAGGAAAATGAGACAAATTTGTGCTTAAATATTGAAATTCTACAATTTGTATTCTTTAGTAAGTTTGAAACTATTGTTACCATCATTGCCCCTATCATTTATTAATCCCAAGAAAAGATTATATCTATTCCAACTGAATATTGCCATTTTTCCTGTTGGCTCTTCCTCCAAGATACTGTGGAAAAGAAAGACAGTAAAGAGAAAGAAATATACTGTAAGTCTTTATAAGAATATTGGTGTTTACCTTTTAACTCTAATGTAAGGACTTTGGTCTTGCCTTTTAACCCCCTAAGTTAAGTTGAAACTGATTAGGAAGGTTTGTCTTTCATTTTTGCAGTCATTTATCATACTGGTGAAAGCAGAGTTTGGCCAAAATAATTACAAAACTAATTCAGCCTGAGAAAAACTCATAAGTTTGCGATTAGTAAATTAGGACATGGGAGTTAGGCCATTGGGTATGTTAATGAATACTCAGAGCAAAACAAACATTTGGGAACTGGAACATGTAGTGGTCCTCCCCCTCCCCCCATGTCATTTTCTGTGGTTTTCATCACCCACAGTCAACTGTGATGTGAAATATTAAATGGAAAATTCCAGAAATAATTCATGTTCTTAATTGCACATCATTCTGAGTAGCATGATGAAATCTTGTGCTCTTCTGGTACACTGATTCATCCCTTTGTTCAGCCTATCTGTGCTGTGGTTGCTACTTGCCCAGACTTAATAGCAGTCTGGGTTTGTGTGTACACATGGGACAAAGAAACAGACTACATTCGTATATTGTTGAATTAGTATGTTATTTTTATTGTTAATCTTTTACTGTGTCTGATTTATAAATTAAGCTTTATCCTAAGTACACCTATATAGGAAAAAGCAGTATATATATGATGCAGTACCATTTGTGGTCTCAGGCATCCACCCAGGGGCCTTGGAATGTATCTTCTGTGGATAAGGGAGTGCTGCTGTGGTACTTTTGATCTTTTGAGATTTTAAAGTAAAACTTTCAATTTGATTTTAAGGTATATCTCACCTTTCACAGTAAGAACCTTTCTGGAAAACATGTTTTTATTCCACTATATTTTTATGTGTACTTGATCATAATGCCAACAATATTGTACACAGTTTACTCATTTTCCCATACATTTCAGTTAACTAAAGGCAGGAATTGTATCTTATTCATGTTTTTATTCCCAGCACCTACATGTAGGCCCTCAAAATGCCACTCTGAATGGCAGTTTAGCTAGTATTTGTTAAATATTCATATATAATAGGTTCTAGGATACTAGGGTTCATATCTCTAGTTTCAAGATTATAAAAAGATGAAAGTACAATTTTACCCATAGAGTTATATAACAATGTAAGTCTGAACTTTTGTAGTTGTTCGGAATTACGTAGAGAAATAAAGTTTTATTGGACTGCCATCTGAAGAGAAATTATCAGTTAGAAAGGTTTTAACAAGTTTTTAGCTTTGTCAGAGGATAGAAATTGAGGGGCAGGAATCAAGTTACCTTTTGGATTATCTTGTGATTATGTAGGATCTGAGTATTATAATTTAAAACCCATCATTGTTGATGACAGTAGAAAGTAGTACAGGTTGTATAACCCTATCCAAAATGCTTCAGACCAGAAGTGTTTCAGATTTTGGAGTTTTTTGGATTTTGAAATATTTGCATAGACTTCTCAGGTTGAGCATTTTCAGTCCAAAAATTCAAAATCTGAAATGCTCTAACATCGGAAATTTTTTGAGCATTCTGTTGACACTCAAAAAATTTTGGACTTTGAAGCATTTCAAATTTTCTGATTAGAAATGTTCACTTTATATTAAAGACTTGGTCTATGATGTAATTTCAGTGTTTTATCTTCAACAGTATTATTGTGTTAATATCTAGAACATGTATACATTCTGTGTTATGGCTATTTATTTAAAGACTTATTTCTTCTGTTTCTGCACTAAAAGAAAATTACCATAACACTGAAATTTAGTGTCCTTGAAAGTTTTTTTTAATGTCAGTTGGTTGTTTTAACTATTATTTCTTTGAATTAAGACTTCTGTTGTTTATTCTCTTATTTCTAGTGTTTACGAAAATGGGGATACAGAAGATGTGAAGATATTTGTTGGATTAAAACCAATAAAAACAACCCTGGGAAAACTAAGACTTTAGATCCAAAGGCTGTTTTCCAGAGAACAAAGGTATTGCCTTTCTTATTTGTTTTCTTTCTTCTTGTTTTTTGCTCACAAGATTTTCTAAGTCACTATATGCAGTTGAATTTTGGTGGAAAGGTCCTTTTTAAGACTTATCTAAGTAGCAGTGAGCACTACAGGAATATATCTAAGTTAATTTTAAAATTTTTTGTTCACTATCTTGGATCAGCTCCCATTGTGCTAGCTCCCATTGTTCCAAGCTGCCACATGTCTAGGTTAGGTCTGGACTTAAAATACTCCTGACTTTCAGAATTTTTCTCTAGGCTAAGAAAGAAATGATAAGATTCATAGCTGGCCACCTCAGAGGCATTTGTCTTCTTTTTTTTCTACTCAAGAAGCCCTTAGAACTTCTGCTTCATATGACTCTGTTTTGCCATTGTTGGGCTTCTGCAGTTTTTGTTCTTTACTCCTTAGGGAGCCACCGTGTGTGTGTGTGGGGGGGGTCTTTCTTACTAAGTCTTTCTTGGGCTGGAATCCTGCCCACATAAGGATGGGGTGTGAAGAGCAGCTTCTGAGTATGAAGCTGTGGGTTTACCGGGAGGATGGTGCACCCAGAGAAGGCTGGAAGCTCCATACCTCTTGCCCCATACCTTACCATAAGCATCTCTCCTTTCCAACTGTTCTGTATTGTGTCCTTTATAATATCATCCTGAATTCCATGAGCCACTGTGGTGTATGATCAACCCAGAAGGGAATCACTTGAACCTCAAATATACTATATAGTCTGTTGATCAGAATCATGGGTGAAAACTTGGACTTGATATTTGATTAGGTGTCAGTCTGATGGGACTGAGCCTTTAATCTATGGGGGTCTGGGCTAATGAAGTGTAAATGGTGTCTACAGAGAATTGGAAAATTGCTTGGTGTGGGAAAACCCCACGTGTCTGTGTCAGGAGTGAAGTATTTGAGGTATTGGATACTATGAAGGAGAGTGCAGAAGAAAACAGTTTGTTTTCCTGTGTACCTTGCAGTTTTTCCACATCTGGAGATCCAGGCTTTCCTTTCATATTTTTGCCCATAGAATTGCATCTCAAAGATTCAGAGAAAGATTGTTGTGGAGTGGAGGACATCGGAAATGTAGTGTTGTGAAATATGACTACTGATGAAAAGAGACTAATGTGTCTTCTCTTATTTAGGAACATTGCCTTATGGGGATCAAAGGAACTGTGAAGCGTAGCACAGATGGGGACTTTATTCATGCTAATGTTGACATTGACTTAATTATCACAGAAGAACCTGAAATTGGAAATATAGAAAAACCTGTAGAAATTTTTCATATAATCGAGCATTTTTGTCTTGGTAGACGACGTCTTCATCTATTTGGAAGAGATAGTACAATTCGACCAGGTAGGACCTCAGTTTAAAAAAAAAACAAGTCAACTTTATGATTCCTTGTGATTTGGATGTTAAGAATAAGACATTGTTGTAAAAGAAAACTCTTGCATGTAAAATAGAAATCTTATATATTTCTTGCTGAAAATCACATATGAGCAGTTGTAGGTTCACAACAAAATTCAAGGAAAGATTTCCTCTGTACTCTCTGCCCCTACACTGGCATCACTTCCCACTGTCATTATTCCCCCCATAATGATATATTTGTTATAATTAGCTAACCCTCATTGAGACACCATAATTACCCTAAGTTTGTCATTTACATAGGTGTCACCTAGTGTTGTATGTAGTGTGTGGGGTTGGACAAATGTATAGAGACATATATCCACCATTATAATATCATACTGAATAGTTTTACCTCCCTAAAAATCCCCTGGGCTCTATTTAATTTTTAAATATATTTTTATTTCTAATTGACACAGTAATTATATGTATTTATATAGTACAATGTGATATTTCAGTAAATATGTATAACACATAATGATCAGATCAGGGTAACTCGTGTATCACTTCAGACATACTGTATTTGTATTGGGAACATTCACAATCCTCATTACTAGCTATTTTGAAATATTCAAGTAATTGTTGCCAACCATAGCCTACTGTGCTGTAAAGCACAGTAAAATATTAAAAGTTATTTTTCCTGTGCCCCTGCACTCCTGTACCTATTAGCCATCCGTTCTCCATCTCTCCCTGCTCCCTTCCCAGGCTTCACCACTGTTCTTTTCTTTACTTCTTTTATATCAACTTTTATAATGTCTTCCAGTTCTGTTTCATGTTGGTACAAATGACAGGTGTACTCTTTTTATGGCTGAGTAATAATCTATTATGTGTGTATACTGTATTTTCTTTATCCATCTGCCATGGACCCTTGGATGGATTCCTTATCTTGACTGTTGTGAACAGTACTCCAATAAACATGCACAGAAAAGTGTCTTTTTCAGTTATTCACTTCAGTTCTTTTGGATATATGCCTCATAGTGAAATGGCTGGATCATATGGAGTTGTAGTTTTTTGAGGAATCTCCACATAGTTTTATATAATAGCTACATTTACTAACATTCCCACTAGCAGTATATGACAGTTCTCTTTTCTCCACATCCTCATCAAGCATTTTCTTCGTCTTTTTGATAACCATTCTAACTGTGGTGAGATGGTACCTCATTGTGGTTTTTATTTGCATTTTCCTGATGATTAATGGTATTGAGCATTTGTTATATACTTGACTATTTGTATATTCTCTTTTGTGAAATGTCTATTCAAGTCATTTGCCCATGGAAAGGTAGGAATGAATAGGAATAACATGGTGGTGCTTGGAGTTCTAGGGCCTATGAACAGAATATCTGTGGTTAGGAAGAGTAAAGAAATAATTAGTTTCAAGATTTGAATCAAAATAATGGTACCATTTTCATTAAATAGGATGGTTATATATAATTTTTTAAATTGTCACTAGCCGAAACTCCATGTAGTATATACTGTTTTTTTCTAAGTGCTGTTATCACAGAATGTAGAACATGAATGAAGGAGGAGGACATATTATAAAAGTTATTATCTAGGAGAAACAAGATATATAAAATGAAATCTTTAAAATATGACCATGATTAAGTACTGTGGATTCTGTAAAAGTGATCAATATTGGATCAGTGCTGGGGGCATATTTAAGAATGCATTGGGCATTTGAATTGGCCCCTAGAAGATCAAGAGAAAGAATACAAATAAAAAAGATAATTTTTTTTTTTTTCATTTTAGGCTGGCTTACAGTTGGACCAACGCTAACAAACAGCAACTACAATGCGGAAACATATGCATCTTATTTCAGTGCCCCAAATTCCTACCTGACTGGATGTACAGAGGAAATTGAGAGACTTCGACCCAAGTCGCCCCCACCCAAATCTAAATCTGATCGTGGCGGTGGAGCTCCCAGGGGTGGAGGGAGAGGGGGAACTTCTGCTGGCCGGGGTCGAGAAAGAAATCGATCCAACTTCCGAGGAGAAAGAGGTGGCTTTAGAGGGGGCCGTGGAGGAACACACAGAGGTGGCTTTCCACCTCGATGACTGTGAGACACTGATGCTCCTAATGCACCTCTGACCTTTTTTTTTTTATTGTGGGAGCCTTCATTCTAGCTTGCGCTTTGCTAGTTTCTCTAAGCTACCAGGAGTATCTTTGCCCCTTCTCTTGCAGTTGTCACACACATAGTGTCTGGTTTGTTACAGGATCAGTGATAGATCCTGCCTTTTGTTATGTGTATCTACTCAACCAGAATGGAACAACACAAGTAGCTTCACCTTCAGGGACTGAATTTATTCTAATTCCAACTAATTGCAAAGGCTTTTGCTGTGTAGAAATAGTTGGACAATGCACATGACTGGATCTGTGATGATACCACACGTGCTGACAGAAGTTGATAAGGCATATCCTGCCACTGCTGCCACAGCAAAGGGGAAGCTGTTTGGGAGCCTTGGTAGAATGGAGTTGGGACAGATGGTCAGCTTCTAGCAGGGCTTTTACCAGTTGCTTGTTAAAATGATAAAAACAAGTAGATTTCATTTATTTTTTCCTTTAAAAATTTTTTAAAAATCCAAATATAATTTGAATACTGAAGAAATGGAGAGATTTTGAATAAAATCCCCTCTTCCAGTGATTCATCTGAGATATTAATCTGGAGCTCCCAGGGATGGTTAGGAAAGGGGTAAGACTTAGCAGGCCAATTCAGGAAAACAAATCATAATTTTAATTGTGTAGCTAAGATGACTCTTAATTGTGCTTCTCGAGAAGCAAATGACAAATTTCCAAGTTCGAGGTTTCTGGTATAGATCTGAACTTGACTGACCTTCAGTGCAGTCTCATATTCCCCCAACAAAATAAATTAGTACTAATGGAAGTACTAATAGAGACACTTGGTTATCAGGGGTTTGGCTTAACCATTTTGGGAAATAAGTACTTGGTGATGAGGAATGGCATACATCTTTAACCTTGATAAATTTCACATAAAAGCAATTATAGAAAACCCTCAAAGACTATAACTTGGAAGTTGGAAGTGCAGTTCCCTTTTATTAAAACCATACAGAGTGATACTTGTTTTCAAGAGGCTTATGGTGCAGAAGTTAGTTGTATATAACTTCATGCTGTTATTTCTCCTTTACTGTAACTCATGTTTAAATGATTTTGATGAAATCAGACCATTATTAATAAATGCTTATTTTGTTACAGTTTTTCTAATGAAACTTTAAACCTTTGAAATTTGAGTCTTGTTTTCTCTAACTGGAATTACTTTTAGTACATGAAGCAAGCCAGGAATTTGTTTTATACTAGAGTAATTTCTTTTTTAGACATTTTATTTGCATATTAAACATGTGTCTATTTGTGCTGTTTTCCTACTTTGGTTTTCTCAGTTTATCTTAAGAAAAGCAGAGTAGTGAGAGAGTACCTTAGTAAATAGCCATTGACTTTGGCCTCAGAGGTATTGAGCCTATACAGAGAGAGTGGAAATTTGGAAGCGCCTTCCTGGGTAAGCTGGACATCACTTGTGAGCCCCAGCCAATAGTCAATACAGAAGGAGTCAGACTGAGATGTTCATGTGAAATCTTCCTAATTTTTAAGAGGTTTTTAATTAGTTTGCAGCCTTTACTTACATTTTCCTTTCAAGAACTAAAATTTCTTAAAGTCAGACTAAATATTGCATGCACATTTTAAGTTCTGTCCTCTAAATACTATGTGACCAAATTTACTAAAAGAGGAAAAAAGTTACTCTCTCAGAACAAGAAATCATCACATTTTGAAACTATATAGTTGGCTTACTTTGGAACAAACCAGTAAGATTGCAGACATGGATGATAATTTAAATGGCCTATGGTGGTGTGACTGCAAGCTACTCATCTGCTCAATGGGAGAAAATGTAGACTTCTAGGCCTAATTGTCATAAAATATACCTCAGAGAACCCTATACTTGTACAAATAATGTAATTTACAATTGTTAGTATCATAAGAAAACCTCATTATGTTGCCTTTATGTTTATCTTTTTTTTTTGGTACCGGGGAATTGAACTAAGGACCTTGCGCTTGTGAGGCAGGCACAGCACCCCTGAACTAAGTCCCTGGCCCATATGTATATCTTTTTAAAAGCAGAGAACAAAAAGTCAAAATAATTTTTTTAGATATATCCAATTTAGAAGCTTGTAGTGGTTAAATAATCCAGTTAATTGTGTGTAAATGTGGCATTGGCTGTCATTTTATAGTTTTATGCGTTTCAAGACAGGTTCTGGGTTGTCTTAATATTTAGTAAAAAGGGTTTTTTAAATTTAATAATATTGCCTATAATTTAGGTGAATTACATAGATGTGTTCTTTGGCCTTGTCTAAGAAGTGAGGCTTATAGCACGGTAAATACAAGCTCAGTTTTACAGCTTACTTTTCTCCTGTTAGTCTTTATTGATTAAAAAAAAAAAGCATGCTTAAGAATATTCAGGGCTGGGGCTGTAGCTCAGTGGTAGAATGCTTGTGTAGCATGTTTGAGGCCCTAGGTTTGATCCCTAGCAACACCCACACATAACACAAGAATATTATATTTATAAAAATAATTCCAAAATAAAATATAAAAAGTATAAATCTTAAATCTCAACTCCTGAGATGGTGGCAAGATTGTAGTTAAGGATGGCATCAGAATCTCTTTAGGATCCATTTCCAGATCTGGTTGCTTTCATTTGTCCTTATTCAAATAGTTTGCTGTTCTGATACCAGTCTGTCTCCTTTTCTTTGTTTAGTCCTGAATTTATCGTCCTGGTGTCTGGCCTCTTAAGTTTTTGTCATTTGCTTTATAAAGGCAACTGTATGCTTTCTCAGCTTTGAATGTATGGCTAGTTAGTGCTCTAAATAGCCCCTTAGTCCCTTGCTTAATAAGTAGGAGTCATTTCCAGGAGAATTTTAACCTCTTCTTACTTTTCTGTTCTGATGCTTTCTTGCTGCATAGGGGGATTGTATTTTTCTAAGTTTTTTTCCTGGCTCAAGAGAATATTACCTTTGGATTACCATCTATCTTGAGCAGAATCAATTTCCTTTGGTTTGGCTCTATTAAAGGCACCTGTCTGTCCTCAGGATAGAATTTTTAAATTACTTTTCTGTCAAACACAATCTGATAAGGATTGTGATTTAACATGTCTCCTTTATAGTACCTCACGGTGGAAAATGTATATTCTTATTGTAAATAACAGGCACAGTAGATTGCCTGAAAGTAGAGGAACCAAGATGGTGGAGGATAACATCCTGGAGTTTTGGGAAGCTGCTGCTTGCCAGTAACAATGCCCCAAGAAGAGCAGTCTTCACTGGGGAAGAGCTGAGGGGTGTGCCTGGCGGAACATTAGTCAGCAGAGCACACATTTGTTTCTCCCAAGCATGGTGTGAGTAGACAAAGGTGGTAAAGCTTTCCTGTGGATAGCGGTGCATATGCAGTTAGGGTTTGTATACAAACAGGACTTTTAAATTACTAGAACATGATTGTCTTGCACACTAATTTACTCTGGGGATTTATATGCTGCTTAAATCTTGCCTAATTCATTAATAACCTTTTTTGCCACATAGGCATTTTTGGTCTTGAAGCATTGATTAAGTAACAACCCTATGGGATATCATAAAACTGTTCTTCAGATGTGGATGATATATAATTTTTTGTGGACCCAGGAAATAACTTGTTTGAAAACTACTGCTCTTGCCCTATAAAAGGTTTTAAAATTACAAATTTTCATTGCAAGAGTTTTATTTTTACTAGTAACAATTTTAAAATATTACAATGTAAAAAGCATAGCCTAAGAATTCTTATGCAACTCATGCATTCTTGAAATTGTATCAGTAATCACTATTGTAGTGTCCTTACCTAGACACTGGTAATATTGCCTCCCCAAACTGACTTTGTTCTTTGTGTTGTGAAAACTGGATTTTCATGTATTAAGTTTGGATGACAGTGACTGTTTATGAAGCTATATTTTGGGAATTGGGAGAGGTTAGCCTGGATAAAACAATAGGGACATGTGATAGCCTTTGAACTATCTGAAAAACACAGCACTTGTACCCACCAAAAGAATTTTCAGAGGAACAGCCTGCTAAATATAATTTTCTACCAGAATTATTCATAAATATCTGCTAGGGGAAGGAGTACCTTTCTCCTCACTTTCTTAAGCCGAGTCCAGGAAACATGCATAGAGATGAAGACTAGGGAGTTCTATTTCTCTTCTCGTCCATGTTGGTCAATATTCTATTCCTGCCCTTTTTTCAGCAGTTAAAATCTGTGTATGCAACACAAGCCCCATTCTCCAAAGAATTGCTTTTCTGGAAGTTACTGACTTTTAACTTTCTGGAAGGTTAAAAAACATTAGTGTATAATGCCTCCTAGTGGAACTCAAATTCAGTTTCACCTCATCTTTCCATGGTCAAAAATATCAATCTGAAATTTGATCTTTGGTCTTCTTTATTTTAGTAGAAAAACATTTTCCCATCTGGCTAAATATTTAAAAAATTAATAGGCCATTCTTAATTATTCTCAGTCTACTGTCATTAGGTTAGATTTCTGGGGGAAGTAAAGGTCATACCATTTAGTAAACTCAAAAATGTACCTGAGTGAACTCTTAATTTTTCATAATGGTTCCTCAACATTTGAAATAAAGTTCATACACACATATATACACATTTATATATGTATGTAAGTTCTGGGTTTTAACACGTCTTAAGGCATTTCAGGCTACAGCTTTCTCATATTGGTAAGTTTACTTTGTTGTCTGAAACTTCATTTCCATAGCATTTCACAAGATGCTCATGACAGCAATAAACACAATAATCCTAGTTTTCATAACCCTTCACAAGTTTAAAAACCTTAGTGAAATAACAGCAGTGAACACTTAAATCTGTGAGACACTAATTGTAAGCCCTTTGCCTTTATTAATCATTGAAACAACTGCGTAGAAACTGGGATACACAAGTCCTTTTGACTTGCCTGGATCAGAGAGCCCATTCTGGAGCAAATGCAGAAGACAATGTTGGTTCTGGAGCCTGTGCTCTTCAACCATCCTACTCTACTGCTTCTCAAGGTTTGGGGCAGGGAGCACTATTTCAGACCTCATGGTCACGGAAGCATTTCCATTATTTATTGGATTTATCCTATTGAAATAAAGTAGCTTGAGATTACATTTGCTTTCTCATCCCACTACTGACTTATAATGAGAAATGAATTCTTTAGTACTTGTTTGCAAGAAGCATCTCCTACATGTGCATTTGTTTTTTGGACTCAAATGACAAGCTTGGAGTTTACAGTTCCAATTTAAATTCATCCACACTGATCTGAAGCACACTGCCAGTTGGCTAATGTGAGGAGTTTTGTTATTCTCAACTTCATGGTATCTAATTTATAATCCTTACTAGCCAAGTAATCATAGACAAAGCACTTAATTGCTTCCAGCTGTTTCTTCATGTGTAAATAGGGGTAGTAGGATTACTTTTGCTGTAAGGACTAAATATAAAAATGACAGTTCTTGGAACATGATATGAACTCGATTATACATTGGCTATTATTATTAATCCATATTGTTGATAAATTTGAATGGGACAGGTGATGTGTCACAGCTCTGAAAACCACTCCCTCACCAATAATGGTCTCATGTTGCCAGTTTATTTTGCGGGCAAGATATTCGAGAACTTTTTAACTACCTTTCTTAAGTTCACTGATACTTCCTAGATTTATTACCTAACACTTCTCAACCTTGAAAAAAAAATTTTGTTATCCTGATTTTGTGATCCATCCAATTTTTTTGTCACTTTTGAGTATTATCATTTTAAAAATCTCAAAGTACATAAAAATGAGTACGTCTACACAGAGTATATGAAGTGATTTATCGATACTGGTTAATATCCATTATATACAAGTAGAAACTGTAAAATTGTACAAAGAACTATTACGAATATTGATAAAGACAGTTCTATAGACAAAACAACTGGAAAAGTTTTGACAAAGTAAAACAAAAATTGTTCTATCAGATTTCAAGGTTACTAAAGGTTTGCTATGCAAACTTTAGATTGAAAATATGTTCAGTGGGTTTATATAGTTTAAAACTTAGGTATAATATAAAAATGATTTTTTCCTCTCGTGGCAAATGGGAGAGGAACCAAGACAACTTTGTACCCCAAATCTATACAGTTTGAAAAATAGATGTCTAGGAACAAAGAAAGTTGAGAATGTAAGGAATGTGCTATCATTTGGATCTGAAATATGCCCCCAAAGTCTTATGAGTTTGGAAAGAGACTGGATCATGGGGCAGTGTACTCATTGGGGGACTGGTCTACAATGGGTTCATAGCTGACCTGCTGTTAGGAAGTGGGGTCTGGCTGGAGGAGATGGTCACTGGGAACTTGACCTGGAGGGGCTTATTTTTCTCCCTGGCTCTTTGCTCTCCAATTCCAGGGCACCATGATTTAATTAGCTTTCCTCTACTATGCCCCTTTGTCATGTCATTTCTCCTTTTGAGCTGACCATGATCAGACTGTAAAATAAGCCTCCCCTCCTTTAAGTTATGGGTGTCAGGTATCTTGTCCCAGCAACAAAGAAAGAGACTAAGATGTCGTACTTTTCATGAAATGCAAACTGAGTCAGTTTTAAAACTTAAAAATTGTGCAGTCAGAAATAAGCTGTTCTCTTTAGGGCACAACTGTACCTTCACTGGCTTTATACCTGAGCACCAAAGCTGAAGTTTTAAATGCCATCCTGAAAAGCTATTCTGAAAATGATCAGAAAAGAAAATTATCCCACTATCATTGACAAAATTAGGCACCAAGAAGGAGATTATCTCCTTAAAATGCAACATCAACAACAGATGATTTAATTAAGCAGCTGAGATATTTTCCTGTGAACACAACAAAGGAAATCCACATAAGATGATCCTCCGTAAAGTCCTTTGTCTTCCACCAGGAACTGTCGAAAAACCATTTCTGGCTGTTCTCTCTGCTTTACTATTGTGAGCTGGGAAAACACAACAGCAGTTGGTTAGAAAGATTTTCTGAATGTGGCTCAATTTTGTTTGCTCCAATTTTACTAAACATTGGAGAATGTCCATTATATGTGAGAGGCCTTGGAGGATGATGTGGAAGTACCTGCTATCCAGAGGGGAAGAGGTACTGACCTCAAACCACAAAACCATCACATACAATTTTAAGTGGCAAAAATGAAACATTAGCAGAGTGCTTTGGGAAAGGCTTCCTTCTGGTAGTGACTGTCACCTAAACCTCAAAGCATGGGAAGAAAGGTGGCATTAAAGAGCATTACATACTGGAATACCACGCAACAGGAATACAGATATGACTGGTGTGTAAATTATCACAGGTTTTTATTTGTTAGTTTGTTTTTCAGTGTTAGGGATCAAACCCAGGGCTTAATACACATGAGGCAAGTGCTCTGCCACTGAGCCATATTCCCAGCCTTATCACAGGCTTTTAAAAGGCAGTGAGAGGTTAAGGAAAAATTATCATAAATATGAGTTTGGGCTTTTGTAGGAAATGTGATACAGTGAAGGTGCAGAAGAATGAAATGAGACAGCTGACTGGTAGATCCATATGTGAGATGATGGAACTGGACAGAAAGTCATTGGAGTGACTGGGGACAGATGACCGGGATCTGAATTAGGGCACTGCAGGTGGGAAGGGGGTAGATTTGTGAGGCGCTGCAGAGGTCAACACACAGGCAGAACTGTCCTGCTCTTGTCATGATTCTCTAGGACTGTGCTGTCCATACTGCAGCCATAGCCATGTGTGCTACAGAATACTTGAAATTTGGCTCCTCCAAATCGAGATGTATCATAAATGTGAGATACACAATGGATTTCTAAGACTTAACAGGAAAGCAAATGTGAAAAAACTCAGTAACCATGTAAATGATTCCAAGTAGAAACAATGACATCTGGTTCCTGTATGGATAACGGGGTCATCAAAGGGCCTGCACAGGGAGGTGACTACAGCTACCAGCCTCTCCCCCATGGCAAGGAAGAGATGTTTCGTTTTTGAAAGGAGGGCCCAGCTCTTCTCATTTTTGCATCATGTTTTGTAGTTATAAAGTAATTGTTGGCACCACTTGCTTTTTCCTTTTGGCACCGGCCCTTGGCTGACAAGCTTTAAACTGTTCCTGACAATAAAAATCATAATCATGTGTAACAATAACTGGCACTGTTACCACTGCACTCAGCTAATTCTGTGTGAATATACCTTGATTCTTTTCTTTATTGTTCCATTCCTAATTTTTCTCCTATTCAAACTTGATTCTGTGTCTTCATTTCCTTTGTGTGATCAAGTTTCAAATGTCAGAGAAAAAGACAATGCTAGATGCAAAGATGTAATGCTACAGCCCCTGGTACAAGCCGTATGTCTTACCTTTCAGATGTCAGCACTGGGTGCTGGAAATGGCACTGGAATGGCTGTAAGCATAGGCAGATTCAACTCCTATGGGGCAAGTGGCACTAACCCCTTAATGGAAATTTCTCCAGAGGAATCTTTTTTTGGAGTGTGTGTCGGGGGTTGGTACTGGGGATCGAACTCTGGACCTTGTGCTTGTGAGGCAGGCAGTGGCACCACTGAGCTAAATCCCCAGCCCCTCTCCAGAGGAATCTTAAGAGTTGCATCCTGATGAACTTGAAGCAAGGCCATATTCTTAATATTTTTGTTTGATCCACCGTCTCTGACAAGCTAGTCTTTCTCAAGACACAGGTGGCAGTAATATGGTCCAGCCTCAACGACACAACTCAGTGATCAGAATGAGACATTGTGGAAGGAAGGATTAAAGTTCCAATTTATTTAGAGTTTACTTTGTCTGTGGGAATTAATGGGAGGAAGTTTATATTGCTTATCTTGTGGGATATTTCCTGTTGCTGTCTTCCACTTGTTTTGTTTTGATTTTCACATGGTGCTCACTGTACAACTTCCTCTGAGGACCTGCGTCTGATTTTACCACCTGAACTATGGTAAAGAGAACAGGGAATGAATTTCAGCTCTGGAGAAATAGATTTCAGATAAAACAGCTTTCAGATATCCGGGGCTACCATTTGAGTCTCTGTAATGTTGAACTGCCCACCACCTGTGCCAGAACAATGCAGAAAGTCTAGTGGAAAATCACAGGAGAGTGGGTCCATGGAAGTGGTTGGGGGGCTGTCTTGACACACTTAAACTGACAGTATTCTCCTCAAAGGATCTATGGTTATTTTCCTCCTTTACATTTCTGTAAGGAGGGACATGGTCCTGAAGAGAGAGGAACAGAATGTTAAAGTGACCATTGCTGGTCTCTTTCCCTACTTCCCATGTGCCCTCTCCAAGGAAGTCCTGGCTAAGGCAAGTGGCACAAAGGTGACATTCTGTGGACCATGTTACCAGAGACCATGAATAATCAATGTGTTTCAAAAACCAACCTCATCTCTCTCTGCGTGACTCGGAGAATAGCTAAATGATGAGAGTAATCAGGATGGCCTAGGAAGAAGATATTGAGTGAGAAATGAAGTGAGCTATGGACACAACTCTAGGAAAATACCAACACTTAAGGGGAAGGTGACTGAAGAAAAGCCAAAAAAAGTTCAGTGAGAAAGAAGAATCAAGAGCATAAAAATGTCTTGAAAACTGTAAGAGGTAATTTGAAGAAAGAGGTAGTCAACCTTGTAAATGCTGCTAAAGATATTAGGACTCAGTTATCTGCTGCATTTCAGCAGCTTATACTGAAGCAGAGAGGGGAAGGAGATATAAGCAGTTAGCAGAGACAACTCTTTCAAGAAGCCTGGTGGTAAAATGTCTGGTATGTTGCATAATAAATACTTGTAGAATGAATGAAAGGAAAGAGAAGGAGAGTTTTGGAGAAGCAGCAGCTTTAATGAAGCTTGTAAACTATGGAAAAGAGCCTGTTGGGAAGGGAGTAATCCAGAAAAAGAGAGATTAACATCTGGAGCACAGAGAACTGTGAGGAGGGCTGGAGTATGCTTTATCAGTAAGGTATCTGATTTCAGTCATCTGGGAACACACTGTGGTGGAAATCTTTGTTCCTTCACAAAATGAAGAATGAGGTCTAAGGTTAGTATTCTGAAAAAGTAATTAGCCTAACTTTGAAGGTGGCAGTGCCTTCAAGATTTGATTTTGTTATTTTTGATTATTCCATTTCAGTTTTCTTTTTTGTTTGTTTGTTCTTTTAAGACAGGATCTTGCTAGGTTGCCCAAGCTGGTCCCAAACTTGCAGGCTCAAGGAATCCTCCTGCCTCAGCTTCCTGAGGACCTAGGCATATAGGCATCTGCCACCATGCCTGGCTCAATTTGAGTTTTTTCTCCTATTCAGTCTTGAATCTTTTCTTCTTTGTACCAGGGATTGAACTCAGAACGTTGCTCTTGTGAGGCAGGCGCGGTGCCACTGAGCTACATCCCCAGCCCCAGTCTTGAATCTTTAAATGTATGACTTCATTTGTATGGTCAGTTTTTTTGTTTGTTTTTTTTTTGTTTTGTACAGGGGATCCAACTCAGGACCTTGCACTTGCAAGGCAGGTGGTGGCACCACTGAGCTAAATCCCCAGCTGTATGGTCAGTTTTTAAGTGTCAGAGAAAAAATGCTAAGCAGACGGTCCTGTATGTACCACAGTCCAGCTGTGAGACCCTGACCAAGATAAGAGCTCACTTTCATTTCCATCAAATGGAGGCAGAAGAGCTGAAAGGCAGGAGGCAACCAGGGCCTGCATGTCTTAGATCCCTTTCAACTCTGAAATCTGTAGATTTTAGGTATTTTAGAGACTTTATAGAGATGGTGCCCTGGAAAGTCAAAGGAATCTGACAAATAACAATAGATGAATCTGTGCATAGTACCTACGAAAATCTGATTCAGTATTCCAGCTGAAATTGTTTTATCATACAGTTGCTTCTATTTTACTCACATACACTATTTGAGACTTGCCCCCATATGCTTTTATAACCAGAGCTGTTTTGATCTCACTAAGTGGTTGCTAGTGCAGGTGGGAGAAAGCACCGGAGAGAACAGTCCTCATTTTCTCTGAAGGAGAGGCACCGAGCTCCAGGATGGTCTGCCTCTTCCCTGCACATGGGGCAGCTGTAGGAATTAGGTTCTTGCAGCTGAGATGAGAGAGCCACCACTGCTGTGCATTCTAAATCCCCGTCTTCAGGTTGTGCTCCGTGAGACCTTAAGATTTCTTGGCAGGTCTGTCTCCAGGATGTTCATGGAGTGTTGTGTGGAGAATGTATTTAGTTTGATCCTTCTCTCCCTCCTCTAGGTCCTTCCCTTAAAATGAATCCACGTATATAAAAGCAGTTCTGGAATGGTCCTATGTTCATCCAGACAGCTGCTCTAGACTGGGAGGCTGTTCATTAATTTAATGATCTAATCTATGCCTAAAGTCAATGTCTGCATGCATGAGTTACTTTCATAGTCAAGAATGTTGATTTAGATTGATATCAAATTTGTATTTCCAGAAATAAAATTGGTCTCACGATATCCTGGCTCCAGGAGACATCGTGTGTGCGCGTGTGTGTGTGTGTGTGTGTGTGTGTGTGTGTGTGTGTGTATGGTAAGTTAGTAAGTAACTCTACATGGACTATCATCTGAAAATTCCAAATCTGGGAGACTCTTAGTATTGAGCCTGGGGAGGAAGAAAGGTAAGTAGATGGGACTTAGTAACAAGGTATAATATTCTTGGGTTGTAGATGTTTTAAATTATTACTCAAACAGAAAAGCCTTAGCAGGGCTAAGGAGGACTAGAACAAAACATCTAGAACCCAAATTTAAGAAGTCAGAATTTACAAATGATCTGACTGATACTTCTAGGTTTCATTTTTGGCCCTAAGAGAAAAGCCATTTCAAAATCCGTTAATGAAATTGATTGCTATTACACCATAAAGAGGACCTTCATGATTACTAATTTAATACTAAGATAACTGATAGTAATAGCAGTTTATTTTTGTGTTTGTGACTGATGAGTAGGTAAATATACTTAGAGGTTACTGTGAGTTTTCTATTAGGTATGACTGAAAATATGGTGAATCTTGAATTTAAAAAAATGTAACAACAAAAGATACATTCCCAGTAATCCCCATCAAAATATTCACCTTTGCTTCATATGCACTTAGCCCATCATTCTTGCCACTTTCTGAAGCAGTTCTGGAAGTCTTCTTTTATGAATGTCTTTAGTTACATTGTTGTAGCTGCCTCACTGAGCTGAATCAATTCAAAATGTTTACCTGTCATGGTCATTTTGACTTTGGGGAAAGAGCCAGAAGTCACAATGAGGTAGATTAGGGCAAATCACAGCTGGGCAATCAGGCATGACCTGTCAATCATGGAGAGCTGTCAAATCACAGCTGAGATGCATTGGCAGAGCAGCTTCAGAACATAGTGTGGGATACGATGTCAAGAGAGGATAGGAAAGACATGAAAGATAGGGAGACCCTTGGGCCTCCTCACTGCCCTCTTATTCTTGCAGTGAGCTGTCCTGCATGCAGGATATATCTTTTCTTTTCTCTTTCTACTTTTCCTCTCCTTTTTTTTTCTCTTTTTCCTCAATAAACATTCACCTGTTAGGTTCATCAGTTGTTGCCATCCAATTCTTTGAACGGGACAAGAGCCTGGAACCACTGGACACAACACCAGCCAACAACAACATGGTGGCAGATCTGGTATACAAGGTGGATGAGAACACGTAGCACTGTTTTTACCAGCCTGCCTTTCCACTGGATTAACTGAGCAGCAGCACTGACTATACGTTTGATCACACCTCAGTGAACACAGTCATAAAAGAGGACTTTCAGAACTGCTTCAAAAACTGGCAAAATAATGGGATAAATGTGTTTGGAATGAGGAAGAGTATTTTGAGGGAAATTAATGGCAACATGTCTTTTACTCTAATACACTTTTTAAATTTAAACTTTCATAGTATATTTCAATCACACCTTGTATCAAACACCTATGTAGATCACATGAAATGTAGAACATACATTTTAAAAGTCTTTAATGAAATAGTAAATAAAAGGCATATGAAGAATGGGAACAAAATCTCATTTTTACCTTCATTGAATATGGCTTCTTTTGTTGGATAATATTCATTATCATTCTGAGTTGTTGAGAGTGTGGATTTCCCACCTCAGGCAGCAATGTCTAAATTTAAGAAAATTAAAATTTCAATACAATTTAAAATAATTAGATGGAAGCAGCAATATGAGATTATTAGACTATTAAAAACATCCATCTATTACCATCTAGACTATTGGCTTAGGCCATTTACCTAAAAATTGAAAATGTAGGGAAAAAATGAACTAAAAATTACTCATTTTTATTGACATATATTCCCACCACCAGTGATCTCTATTTTCTAAAAATAAAAATCTTTCTCTGGAATTTGACACATATACGTCACTGAAATGACACAATAGGTACACATTTTATACAAAGGAAGTCTTTGGACCATTTCCCATGATGGATTACTCCAACTTCAAGTTGTATATTCCAAGGCTTTGTTGTGAGAGAAAAGAATGTATTTTATCTCTTCAGTAGATCAGTTGCAAGACTTTGACTCATTATCTTGTTTGGAAAATGCTGTCCAAGTATCACTGTTCCAACATTAAAACAAACTACTAAAATGCTTATTTGTCAAGGGGAATGTGTTCTCTAGATTTCCTTGAAATCTGGTTAGTAGTTTACAAAGCAGTCCAGCTGCACATGGCTTCCAGGAGATGTGAAGGAGCTGTATTAGGTTTCTTCAATTAAGATGAATAAAATGCTAATGCTCACTTCTCAAAAAGAAGATGCTAAGATTCAGCATGTCATCTGTGAGTCAGCTGCTAGAAAGCTGAGTTAGAATGTTTTACTATAATGACCCAAGGGGTTTTTTGGGGGGGTACCAGGAATCGAACTCAAGACCTTGCGCTTGTGAGGCAGCTGGTGGCACCACTGAGCTAAATCCCTGGCCCATGACTCAAGTTATAGGAAAAGACTACAGTCAAAATATTTCACAGGGCTGTAAGAAAAGCAAGGTATTCATAGTCACATTCTGTCTACTTTAACATTAAGTGGGTTCTTTCATCCAACAAATAACATAAATTGGTCCATCTTTGTTTAATTTACTATTTTTTTGAGGAAGGTGAAGAGGTATGCTGATGTAAGCACAAGCCTACCAGTTGGTTACTTGGTGCTGAAGAGACTATTATTTTGTTCAGCTCAGCAAATATGTATTCAACCTTTACTATGTCAGTATATTATGGTATAAAAAGAAACTTCCTTAAGTTTTATATAAACATTCTCTCAGATTCAGTTCTTTGCCTTCTGAACTTTGTTTGTAATCTTTAGAAAATTACATTTCTAGTCATTTCTTAATTTCAACCAGGTGCAGGTATCTTACTGTTTCAAACCTTCTTAATTTTAAAACTAGTCTTTTAATGAGACATAGACACCCTTAGTTCCTTTACAAATATACTTTTGACATTCATAATTGGTATGCTGGTTTCTAAACTGACCACTTAACTTTGTTGCCTTAAAATTTATTCCTATCCCTTTGTACAAGATGCTGTACATCCTTATGTTATACATTCATATCATTCATACAACACCTGGACTGAGGCCATCCTGCCGTAACTTAAGCAAGGCCTTCGGGAGCCATACTACAGATTCCTAAGCAACCTGCCTTCAAGCAGAGGATGATTACCATCATTGCAATGGTGCCCACACAAAAACCTACAAGAAGTTTTCCAATAGATGTTAATCCTCAACAGAACTTAATTGCTGAGTTTTCCTGTGACACTTTAAAAAGATGTTTTTATTAATTTCCACATTAAACTCACACTTAATCTGTTGTGCTTGCAACAGAAAGGTATAAAGCCTGTTTTTGTGAGATTATTATTTTGTAATTCCTCAATCTGATTTAGTCCAAAGCCAAACACCTAAGAATGATTTCTGAATTCTTCTGGGTATTCAGCACCAAGGATGAGCCCTGGGTTTAGAATCTAAATCCTGTTCCCATCTCTGCCACCTACTACCTGCAGGAACTCGTTTCTGAGTCTTAACCAGTTCATCTATAAAACATGGAGGCAATATCCATGTCACTGATTTGAGAATGAAATGAAATCATGTAGTAGTATTTGAAGCAAACTGACTGGCATATAGTAAATAATTTGAAAGTGTTAGCAATTTCTATTCAAGTCATGCATTTTGGCTAACACTATGCAAGTAATTTTATATCAGATAATTATGATTTTCTCTGATTCTTATTTAGGGTTATATATATTTTCTTCTTTGTAATATAAAATTGCCATGAAATTTATTTACCCTAGATCAGTGAAAAGACACTTACCATATCTGTGTTGATATGTGCAAAAGATGGAACATTAAATATCCCTTGGATCAATTCTGGTGGGCTACTTACTCCCAACCACAGGAACATGTTTAGACCATTAGCCAGAAGGAATATCCCTTCCTCTGAAAGTCGAGACTCGGAGCAACGAACAGCAGCAGGTAACATTGTACTCTTCAGGTCTAATGTGTGCTGTGTGGGCAAAGAAGAGAATCAGAAACTTCCTCCCTCCCTCCTTTCTTTACTTCCCCTTTCCTCTCTCTTTTCCTTTCTCCCATCTCTTTTCCTTCAAGTGCATATGTAATGAATGCTTACTATGTGTCAGACATTGTTCTATTCATTAAATACAAATTTCTGTGCCGTACGCAACTAGTGGTTTTTTGGAGGGAGGAAGAGGTGGAACATAAAATAAATAGAATACATAGAATTATAAATGGTATTAGGAGCTATGAAGAAACACTTGTGAAGCTGAGGCAGAAGGATTGCCTCCTGAGTTCAAGGCCAGCGTGGGGTACATAGTAAGTTCATGACCAGCCTAAACTATATAGCAAGACTCCCTCCTCCCCAAATAAGAAGAGCCATGAAGGGCAGAAACAGAAAAGCGGGATGGAATGCATCAGGTGGGGGAGTGGTGTTTTCTTAACTGGAATTTTTTAACTAGGATAGTCCAGAAAGGCTTGGTGGAAAGGTAACTTTTGAGTGAAGACCTGAGGAGGAGAGAAAATGAGCTGTGGGGATCTGTGGGGAAGAGCATTCCAGGTAAAAGGACAGTGAAGGGGAGAGAAACTAGAAGCTGGGGGAGAGAGTAATAAACTGGGTCAGATGCTGTGACAGGTCAGCAAAGAGGACAGAATTTCAAGCACACACATAAATAATAAAGAAAAGATGACTGGCAACTGCTTATTGGATTTAGCAGGAGATGATCACTGGTGTCAAGGAATTTCAGTGAAGTGGTGATGTTCTTATCCTTTAGAGTTCTCGTTTCTCTGGCCTACAAACTGTTAGTGATCTAATTTTATCTGCAATCAATCATTTGTAGTAACTTCTAACCTTCATATTGATTGAATTAATAACTTTATTTTATTTCCAACCTAACTTCAGACTGCTAGTACATGTCTTACTCTTCCTAAGAGCCCGGGGAGGATTTTTGCATACATCCCAACAGCCTTCCTTACTTCTTCCTCTTCAACTGTAACCTGTCAGGGCCCAGGGGAGAAGAGCCTGGTCACAGAGCACAGGGGCAGTCAAGGCATCAAGGACTGACTTCAACAAAGTGAAACACATTGCCATGTCAACTCCCCAAGAAAGGGTGGTTGATGCTCTTGTACAGTGTAGATATCCTCAAATATGTGCACATCTAAACCAGATTACATTGAAGCAAGGCTAACAATAACCGATCTGATTAAATGTGGTGACCACTAGACATTACTGTATTGTATAAACAGATAAATACATGTGTGCATATGAGATCCAAAACACACATATGTTGTATTTAATGCTGTAGAGTTCATCAGCAACTGAAGGTTAGTTTGCTCCAACTTGTTTACAGACTTCTCAATGTGTCTACATAATTAAAGAGTACCAATTTGGAAATGAGGAAAGAGAAGCCATCATCTGAGCAATTCATGGAAGTAGGAGCTCCTGATTTCCTCTCCCCACCACACTGACTGCATGTTGGTGCACACGCACCGCTTGTTCAGGGAGCCTGGGCTCTAAATCCCATGCTGTACATTTTGAAGGCATTTATGACTCTGAATTTCTTAAGAACAAAAGGTTTAGATATAAAATGTGGAAAAGCACAAAAGAGGACTCCTTTCTAGACTCCTCTAGGAAATGCTCACTATAGGCAGGAGTTGTGGGTAGAAGAAAAGCTGCGAGTCAGCCACACCCATGGTCATGACCAGCTGTCTCTGGTACGCCCGCTCGTCTGTGGAGATCTCTGGTCTACTACGGAGCACACAGTTTTTTAACAAGCAATTCATGTATACTGGAAATATTTTCATGGAATCTGGGAGAATAAGCTGAAAAAAGAAAGATTTGTTTCATATGCTTAAGCTTAATGAGATAGATCTCCTGAGTTTTATCTATAAACAACATTTTCTTTTGAAGTTGTGAAGGTATGCACTCCTCTATCCCCACTTTGGCTCACAGGTTCTCATTCAACTGCCTTAAAGTACATCCCATAATGACACACTACAATATAACACAATGAACAATTCTAAAAGGCAACTTAACAGTTTAAAACATTCTAGATAATAGCCTATGTTATTAATCTTTGGTCAAGTCCATGTCCTGAGAAGAGCTAATAATCAGATCGAGTGTCACCTCCTTCCTTTTAACAGCACAGATCAAAGAAAATATCCTCACAAATACACATAGAATCTAATGATAATTTGCAAACAGTTTCCTGAAACATATAGTGTATAAATTCATGATTTCTTCTTAGCTATACATTTTTCAATGATGAAAAAGAGTGTACACTTAGCAGAATCCACACCGAAAAGAAAATTTCCATCAGTGGTCTATTAGATTTATTCATCATTCTTAAATCCATTTACATCATAGGTCTTTTATCATAATCTACTAAGTAAAAGGTATGTATAAGACAAAACTTGCTGACTGATTCCAGCAAACATACATCAGAAATATTCTACTTTTCAATTTATTTCCCCTCAATTTCTAATTTTTTGAAGAGTCAAAGATAGTCGAACACATTTCCTCATAAAAGAACAGTTCCTTCTAATTGTAATTTTTTTCTCTAGCATAAAACATTTTCATTTGATAACATTTAGTACTGTATTACTTTCTCATCCAAGGATAACACTATGATCTGAACTTTAGGAATCAGATTACAGACATGTAATCCCCTGGTTCCTCCATGATTAAATTATTTTTGGAGAGGAAACGTATAGGTTAGGAGGAAACAGAAATCCATATCTCATTTGATTGAATTTGGAAAATTCTTTGTGTTTTGAAATGACAGCAGTAATGAACAACAACAACAAAAAATAACTCTCACTTTGTTGTTCAGTCATTTGACTTGCCTTTTGAGGTCACTGTACTCCCAAATAATGTAATAAGTTTAAGCTCACAACTGTGAGCTATTAGACTTAATTTAAAAAACTAACCCTCCTTATCTAATCCTAAAATGTAGTTTACTGTTGTTTCTGGTCAGGACATAACCTAGCATCTACTGCATGATTCTCAGAGTGGGTGCTTCATTAAATTGTGTACCCTAAGTGCCTTCTCTCGCCTCCCTCAGTATCACCTCTGGCAGCTCTGCTGAGGTCCAGCATCATATAATCAAAGTATGTGGCTCCTGGATGGCCTTGCTTGGGTCAAGGAAAGTGCAAGCTTTATGGGAAAATAGTGGTAGTCCTTTAGGAATTTCTTCAAAGATATTATACCCCATTAGTGAACTACAGGAAGGTATTGAGTTGTAGTTATGTTTTCTGAAGAGAGCTTGAATTCCAAGTATTCTATGTTTTCAGTTCATGACATTTAAATATATCATTATTTCTACCAATGCTACATTTTCTAGATCCCACAATGGTATCTGACTCATATAATTAAAAAAAAAATCATTGGTTGAAGGTTGCACTTGAAATGTGGTAATGGAGAAGAAAACTCTCACTATAAGAACAGAAATAATTTCTATCCATTTATCCAGAAAAAGTTTGCCACCATGTTTTTACTTGAGAATAATTAAACCATATAAACAGATGGCCTATTTGTAGAGACAATGCTTTTAACTTTTGAACCAGAAAGAACTGATGGATTTTTCTATTCTTTTCCTTAAATAGGCAACAGATTTGTTTTTCACTTAAGGTTTTTGAGTCCAATCATTTTAACATGAGGAAATAAACTTCCAGAGAAGGCACGAACTGTACCTGTTCTACTTCAACTAATCCTTCTAAAGGGTGAGATACTCCAGAGACAGAATAATGTCTTCCAGAACTCAAAAGAAAATAATAATAAAACAGGGATGCAAAGTCTTCTGGTTGGGCGGCATCCAGTCTGGACTCCAGGTGCACCTGGTGGGCTCTGTGTAGTTTGAACAGCCCACGGTGCAATAGTATTGGTATTTGGGTTTACTAAAGTGGCATATTTTCTGAATAATAAAGACAACTGAATACAGTACTCATATAGATTCAAAATTTGCTTAAAGAATTATCAAAACAGGAGGTGAAAGAATGGAAGACAAATCATTTTGAACAGCACAGAAAGGAACTTTTATGAGAAGTCCAATCAAATGAATGCTTGTTTTATTTTTCTTTTCCAAGATTATGAATTTAGACCCCAAATTTATCTGCATTCCTGCTGAAAGCCTCCTTCTAGATGGGCTTTCAGATGTCTTCTCAATAATTGCTTTTGACAATGAATGGACTGGAAAATTTTTCATTGATTGTTCACCATCTCCTCTTTCAATCAAAATTTAATACTCAGATATTCTATATGAAAACTATAAAAAATAGCAACTACTTTTATTGATATAGGAGAGAATATGAACAGGAGAAGGCATACAAACATAAATGTGGATTTTAGGTTTTACTTTCTTTTATAGGAGTCTTAAAGGAGGCTCATTTAAAGGATTTTCTAAAATTTCAAATCACTAGATGATGGCCAGAGACAATTCTTTCAAACCTCTTCATACCTCTTCATAACTTTTAAATACGAAGACTTCCAATATTTATTATATTTATGTTTATAAAATACAATGTTATTACTCCCATCAGCTCATGTCAACTTGGTTAATATGCCTAAAATGTATCTAAGAATATACATTTCACAATAAAATATCCATGACTATATATAAAAGAGAATCTTGTTTTGACACTTCTTACATATAACATACTTTTGTTTATACAGAATGTAATGACTGTCAACTGAATATCTACATACAGTTTTGGTTCAGGCACTTTGTGAAGCCCAGTTTTTTAACATCAGCTATGAAATATCACAGCTCCCCACAAACTGCGTTCTCAATCTTCTTGGCTGTACAGTTGGCTGGAAAGCATCTGAGTGCCTGCAGTACCCTCAGCCTCACTAGCTACGTGCTGAAGAACACGGAGTTGTTTTTAACACGTTAACACAAAGTACAGTACGTAGCTCACCTGGTTCACAGCAGATGGATTTGTGCAATTTTTTCGGTAACAAGCCAACATATGGGCAGTCTGATTAACTAAAATTTCCCGGATGACCTTCAAAGGCTGATGTAAAACTGCTTTAAAGGCTGTGTGCACAAAACCATTAGTAAAAAGAACATCAAAACTTTAGAAACTGATCTCTTCAAATAAGAAAAAAGAACAAGTTACTATTCTAGTCAGGCCATCCAACAAGAATAGCAGGACTTAAAAGTGTTAAAGTCATTTGCTAATGGTTCACTACTGATAAAATATGACATTTGTCAGTGGAGAACAATGGCCTACCTACAGCAAAGCATTATACTGGCCCAGATATATCTTTATGATATTAGAAAAAGAATTCTACACACAAAGAAAAGAAAGGTCATCTTGCCATTTTCTGAGGTCCTGAATTCCTATGGGCTGAATTACTATTTCTTCCACCTTTTAGTGTGGAATCTCAGAAGGAAAGCAAAGGAAATTCTGCCTTGGAGCCCATCCTATTTCACACTTACCAAGGTATGGGTAGTCAAGATCAATCCAAGGTCATGGATAGTCTCCTTCCATTTTGCACCTGTGCCAAGGGGCATACTCATATGCCATAATAAGAGCTTAGGAGTACCTTCCTAAATTTCAACTCCAACTCCCTACTAGAAAGGAAACTTTAAATAAATCTGTGTAGTCTGGCCCTGAACTGAGTCATTCTATTTAATAATCAAGAGTTAGAGATGCTAAAGTACCACAGTACTTTTTAGACACTGACTCAATTAACCAACAAGTATTGATTGAATGTAAGCAAGGTTTACTTAACTACAGGCTTAGCAAAGTGTTACCTGACTTGGCAAAGAAGTTGATAAGGGCATCTGTCTCACAGCTGTTGTAAAGATCAGCTAACTGGGAGCTGCAGTTTAAGCCAAGATTGTGAATTCGAAGTCTTCTTTGGCCACCAATGGTTGTGTAAAGCACAGCACACTGCAGGAATGACAATTGAGGTCATATGATTTTCCTGGTCAACACCAATGCTGTATCCAACCAAACTAGTCTCATCTTATTTGCATTTACAAAACAGTATGTACAGATAAAAGATCTTTAAATTTTTCAACAGACTTTTTCTATTATTTATTGTTAAAGATTGAACAACAACATGGGATGATAGTGACCAATTCATTGGCTGAATTTCTATGTAGCATTTCACTGGTTTAATTATTGGGCTACTGACATGTAAATATCTGTTCACAGTTTCACTTATCTCAGATTTTACTACCAAGGATAAAGGTCCAGAAATAATACCTCCATGTACTCATAGACCTACTCAAGGCCACTTCCCTTACAAACATAACTGACTAGCCTTGGCCAGATACTGAGGTCTTAAGTTGACAACATACACATTTAAAGAATACAGAGATATAACCATTACTCCAAATGTCTTTGGCTAAAATATACACATTAAAGTTCTTCCTCAACTTACTGCCAACCTCTCTCCATGCTTTAAGTGTGATTCTGTTATAAATTAAATTTGAAGTTTTCTTCCAAGTCTCATGTGTTCAGAGGTGGGGCTTTTGGAAGGTGATTTGATCATGGGATGCTGCATTCATCACTGCATTAATCCACTGAAGACTCCAAAGCCAGGTTGACAGAGGCGAGTCACTGAGGGCATGACAGGGAAGGGTCTCCCTCCTTCCCAGATTCCTCCCCTCTCTCTACTTTCTGGCTGTCAAGCCTTCAACAGCTTTCCTCTACCAGACTCTTCCATCATGATGTTTCTACCTCAGAGTCAGCTGACTATGAATAGAATCTTCTAAAACTGACGAGCCAAAATAAACCTATTACTGTCTTAATGAAAAATCGACATGGCTTCTCATTAATTTTACTTATTATAAAGCCAAATCTTATTCCACTTGTTTATGATATAATAAAGTGCTTTATATGGTATTAGGGGCTGACTTGTGACACTCCAAAATTCATGCTGAAATTCTAACCCCCAGTACCTCAGAATCTAATTGTACTTGGAGACAGGTTCTTTAAAGAGATAATCATTAAAATGAGGTCATGGAGGTGGGCCCTAATCCAATGTAATGGGTGTCCTTATGAAAGGAAGACTCTTGGACTGAGATATGTAATGGAGACCATGTGAAGACATGGAGAGAAGACATCTAAAAGCCAAGAGACACCTGAAACAATTCCTTTCCTCAAGACCCCCAGAAGCCTTAGTCTTGGACTTTAAGCTCCACAACTTAGTGAAAAAATGAAGTTCTGCTGTTGAAACTGTCTGGTACTGATTATGGTGTCCTTAGCAAACTAACACATGTGTGGTAAGAGTGAATGTTCACTGAAAGGAGTGAATAAATATGGAAAACCCACTTTCGATGCTCATCATGCTTAATACAAGCTTGCTGGGCTTATGTGCCCAGCAAGTGGGTGGCACATCTGCATCAGGTACAGAGAAGCCACACAGTTCTCTAGACCAGTGACTTCTGCCTTTGGAGAAAGAGTTGATTTTTTCATGAAAAGACAAATACATTGGTAGTACTGTATTACACTCACCACTGATTACTGTAAGAAACTAAAAAGAAAAGACAAGAATATGAAATCACCTGGATTAGGGCTCCACTGTCTTCATTCAGCTTGTCATCATGCTTGAACCCCACAGTCACTGCCTTGTCACAATCAATAGCAGCCATTTCCACATCAGTGGTATTGTTCATAAAAGCTCCACCAAAGAAATCAGTGGCTCTGAAGCCTAAAGAAAAGGGAAAAGGGGAATTTTGCTTCTCCAAATTTTGCTTTTATTTTCTTTCTTGTTTTGTTACTTAATTTGAAGAGAGAATAAGTACACAAAGAAATCTGAAAGTGGCATAAATGATAATTACCTGTGCTGGTACGAACTCTCATAATAGCATCAAAGCCTATTTTCTTTTCAATGTCATTTCTGAGGTCATTCAAAAATTGTTGGCTATCCAAATGCATCTAAAAAATAAAGTATGATCAGTGCCCACCAGATGGCAGTAAAATACTTAAAATAACAATTGTTATTTTTAAACCTGACTAAAAAAAAATCATTGTTATTTAATCTCAAATTAGCATATTATGTGCATAATTTATGTTTCTTGGGCTAAGGAAAATACCGGATCTTTGGGCAGTGATTCTTAAATTTTCAAGGGAAACACATCTTTTACTTTCTTCCATTTTCATAACCTTTGACTAGGAAAATAAGTTACTGATTTTACTTTCCAACTGAGGCAACAGTATAAATGATCCCCTTAGGGACTCAGTGTGAGAGACAAAACTAACAACAATCCAAACAGCTCATTTGACAAAGCTGGGGAAGACCCTGAATCTGTGGGTTCTGACCACATGCAGAAGCTGAGTCAGAGGGCAATTCATGCAGCAATTAAAACCCTTTCTCTCAGCCTTGATAGGTACTCTGCTCTCACTGTGTATCTGAAAGCTGCTCACAACCCACAAGTGAGCAACGTTAATACAGTATGTCCCATGTGCAACACTGTTCTGAGAGTTCACCCGGGAGAGAAAACCCACTAGCTCAGCAGCAGCTTCTGAAGCTGCTTATAAGATCTTGTCAGGCAGTCTCTTTCTTTCTTTCTTTCTGGTGCTACTGAGGATTGAACTCAGGTCTTTCACACTGACCTATACCTCCAGCCCTTTTAGTTTTAGGACTGGGTTTTGCTAAATTGCCCACTCTGGGCTTGAACTTGGGATTCTCCTGCCTCAGTCTCCCATAGTGCTAGGATACAGGTATATGCCACCAAGTCTACCTTCAGAGGCTCTTTAAGAAATTGTCATCACTACATTTGACAGTAGGAACAAGGCAGACACACATATCCCTTTCTATCTCCCAAACACAAAGGGAAGGAAGGAAGAAACGAAACAAGGAAATCACAAATAGTCTTTATAATAAACTTCAGTTGTTTACATCCAGCTGGATGCCTGTAAAGCTCTTTGCCATCATTTTCCTCATTTCTTCCTTGTAATATTATTGAGAGACACTAATAAAATTTTGGCTTTTGAAGCAGAAAAAGAAATGCCATCGTAGGAATTCAGTTTTACAACTATGTGGAATAAACGCAAATAGATGAGTGCGGCATAGCCAAAATGAACACTCTTAATACTCTTGGGTTATAAAATATTTTACTTCCTGTTTATATCTTAGGGAGTTTTCTTCTGTTGGATTACAACAGCATTTCTTTACAGTGACACTGAAGGAATTAATAATAATCATCAATGTCAAAGTGCAGTACATCTATTATACTGGAAACTACACAGGGTTACCTTGTAACTCGAAGACTTGAAAAGTTCATTTCCCTGGCTGGGAAAGGAGCTAACACTGGCCAGCATGGAAAGACCCTCTCTGCACCTTAATATACAAGATTTGGGCAGAATGGGGAAAACACTAAATTTCATGATTCTTAAGAGCTTATTTTCTAGCATGGCTAAAAAGACATATGTTTATCCAGAAGTCTTGGAAATGGTTCTTAAAGCTTTATTGTAAAAATTAACTCAGAATTAATAAGTTGCAGTGTGCCATTTCCTTCTATGCATATGTTGTACTTTAAATCACTTCCATCCTCCTTATTACCTTTTCTTGCCCTCCCCTTTAAAACTTATTCATATGTTTTTCATTATTTTGAAACAGGGTCTTGCTATGTAGTCCAGGTAGACTTTGAAGTAACTGTTTTAGGAGCCCAAACTAGCTTCAAACTTGTAATCCTCCTGCTTCAGTCTCCAAAGTGCTAGGATTATAGGCTTGTACTACCCACCTGGCCAATAATTTTTTGTTTTTGGCAGTGGTGGAGATTGCACCCAGCACTGCGCATGCTAGATAAGCTCTCTACCACTGAGCTACACCCCCAACTTTAAATGTTTTAAATGTATTTCACTTGATATATTTGTTCTTATTCTTTTAGTTTACAATGTAGATAAGTACAATTTTATCCATGATAAATAAAAATAGATAATGATTAAACATCAGTCATTTACGTTGGGTGAGTGCCCCTTCTGACTCAAGTGCCACATGGAGGTGGCAAACCTAGGAGGCCCATGCTGGACTAACTGATTAATAAGTTTGGGGAAAGGAACTGGCTGGGCGTAGCTCAGTCTCTTCAGGTCCTCTGCCTGCACTGTCTGCCCCTCTAGACAGTAAGCTTTCAAGTATTGTCTGTAGGAGAATCAAGGGACTCCCCAACCCTGGACTGGGCTGTAGGTGTTTGTCAAGTGCAGGAATGATGCATTAGGAAGCCCACTTCCTACAGACCAAGGTTGCTAAAGTACTGACATTCTGATCACCTCTTGAATCTCTCCCTTCAAAGAAATGTGGAATAGAGGGGTGTAATGAATTATTCACCCCAAATTCCAACAATTTGAAACAAACTGTAGGTAACTTTTCAAACATTATTTTAAACATAGTTTGTATATTATGGCAGCTTACACTGATAACTCTCTGGCTGAATGAGACTCTTAGCTAGCATGAACTCCCTAAAAGCATACATTGTAAGGTTTTCCAGTGCTCTTAAAGTTGTATTTGTCAAGTGGCCAGAAGGGGGCACATCTTTCTTAACTCATGATCAAGATTAAAACTGGACAAAATGGAGAAAAACAAATGGCTATCATTTACCTGGAAATTGTTGTATTTGTAAAGAGTTCCTCCAGTGAGCTGAGGGACAAGACCCAAAGACGCCACATCCACGTACTGACTGGGGAAGAGGAAGACAGTCATCGAGCAGCCGTGGGCCACACAGTCCTTGGCCAGAGAGTCATAGACACTGGTTTGGGGCTGGAAAAGTATCTGAAGGAAAAGGTGCAAGAAAGGAAAAAGAAAAATTACAAGTACTTTCAGTTTAAAATTGAAGTTTTGAACTGAGTTCTCATTGAAATTTTAAATTGGAAAAATATTTTCCAGTTAAGTGAATTAGGCTAAATAAATATTCATATGCATTCAATTCTATTTGAGCCTCAGCAACCATAATGGAGCTGACATTGCTATGCTGGCTTACAGAACCAGAGGAGGCACTCGGTGAGGCGCCACAAGTGGTCTGATCCTCCTGTGGACTCTCCACTGCCGCTCCACTGTCCAAGGTCAGACCAGAGGCATTTTAGGAGCCATACGCCTCTACCTTGTGCCGCAGGCCTCTGCCTGGAGGGGATGCTGTCATAAGGCTGGATGGACTATGATCTCCCACCATACTTTATCTTCTTTCTGCACCCTATCGTCTAACTTCTTTAACATTCTCATCACTCGGTATCTCTCATACAAATTATATATTAGAAAATATGGGGCTCTTATTTTAACTTAGATATTTCCAGTATCAGTTTTTCTAGGACTACAAAATTTCTGCAATTATTTAAAACACAGAATATTTCTAGATTTAGCCTCCCCCCCGCTTTCTTAAAAAAAGGACACACTGACTTTTTCCATCTTCTCTTAATAATGGATATACAGACACTTCAAAGAGTAATTATTTACAAAGTACCTTCTCTTTGTCTGTATTAAGTAGCTTTTTGTCATTTCTGTTTTTGAGCTTCCCTGGTGCTTCGGCAGTTGGCAAGGAGGAATGAAAGATGTACAGCTTCCCTGGACATTCTGCTGCCTAAAATAAAAACAAAATCACAGAAAATGCTTAGGTGAAAAGGTCATAAGAAAATAGGAAACATATTAAAATATATAAGCCAAGCACTAATTTAATCTTTATAAAAACACTCATGTTCTTGGGCAGGTGCTTTTCACTCCACTTTACAGGTTAGCAAACTGAGGCATAGCACCAAGAAGCCTAAAGGCATGCAATTTTTAAATGAAAAAGTTAATATTTAAATATGGATCTATACAACATGATGCTTTAAAAAGTTATTAAAATGATGTGGTAGAGGGAAAACATTCTTCGAGGCAGGTGGCGGAACCACTGAGCTAAATCCCTGGCCCTGGAAAACACATTCTTATTTATCCTATGGCATAGTCCAGAGGTGGCGAACCTATGGCATACATGCCTCACCAGGCTGTTTATATCATTGAAAGCTCTAAAAGCTTTGCCACCACTGTGTGACACTTCAGGACCAGGCGATTTCCATAATGCAAAAATAGATGACAGAATCAGCAGGACCATGATACAATAAAAGTGCTTATTTCAGGCCTTTAGTGAACATGGGCTGAAACTAAATTAGTTTATTTCCAGGAAGAAGCACAGGAATGTGGCAGTGTCCTGACTACGGTGGACACCAGGAACCAGCTACCAGGAGTGGCAACAAAAGTAAAAATGTGTGATCAGGAGTGCACATCTATGGTCTCTGAGCAGTAAAAAGAAGATTCAGCCTCCATGAAAATCAATTCAGCATTAAGAATATCTAAAATCATAGGAAAGGAACTCAATAGCAACTGACCAAGCAAAATGTATTGAAATTCAATAAAATTCGCTATATCAGTCCCACCCCCTGCTTGGTTGTCTGACTCACAGTCCAAACTGCTGCCAATGCATAGCCCCAAAACAATCTCCATATGTCTGCTCAGGTAAGTGCTTTTCTCTTCCGGAATCCTAAGGGCTTTGTAGCCCAGGGAGAAGTCCACTGTCCTTATCTGGGCAACAGCAGGCAGGGCAGGAAACAGCTGCTGCATGCAGCTTGCAGCGTGGCCCTTTGTGAGTGTTGCCCTATTTAACTCAATCACCTGGTGCAGTAGGTACTACTGCTTGCATTCTAAGGAGGCAAAACTCATCCGTTTGCCTCAGGTCACATATCTAGCAAGTGACACTGCAAAGCCCTCTGAAATTTAGTCTGAAATTATCTTTTCAGCCCAATAACCAACCTTTCCTCACCCCTGCCATCTTTTGTTTGAAATGACTTTGTTTTGAAGTTTCAGCCACACACATTTCTTGCTTTCCTGGAATACACTGTGTGCTTACATACCTGTCTCTTTGCACACTTTGTTTCCCAGTCTGGAACATTTCTCTTTTCTCTACCTGGGGCTTCTGTTTGCAAAGACAAGGCTGAGTGGCAATCATAGCTCTGGTGGGTCAGCTGTATGATGTGCTTTTAGTTATGGGCTACTTATAATAAGGTACTTAGACATGTGACTAGCTCCTTTGAAAAACAAATTGAGAGAATTCAACATTTTTCCTGTTGTAATGTGTCTCTCATCAGTGACATGCGATATATTTTGTGGCATGGATCACAGGAATGAGGTCACAGCAGACGTGTCTGCCTGGTGTTTGATGTGGCCAATAGTGAGGAAGAATTTGTGAGCTGGGAACTTAATGTTGGATATGTCCCCAGCTGAAAGTTACACAGAGAAACAGCATTAATAAAAAAGGTTGCTGTACATTGAGGCACATGCTTGCAACTGTAGCTACTCAAGAGGCAGAAGCAAGAGGACTAAAAGGTCAAGATCAGCCTAGGCAACTTGGTGAGACCCTGTCTCAAAATTTAAAAATGTTAAAAAGGGCTAGGGATGTAGCTCAGTGGTAAAGTCACTGCCTAGAAAGCACAAGGTCTTGGATTCAATCCCCAATAACTACTGAAAAATTGAGGAAGAGGAGGAGGAGAAAAAAGAAGAGAAGGAGGAAGTAGAGGAGGAGGAGCAAAAAGAAGAGAAGGAGGAAGTAGAGAAGGAGGAGAAAAAAGAAGAGAAGGAGGAAGTAGAGGAGGAGGATAGTGAAAATGAAAAGTCATAGGTAGGAACTTAAGCATGTTAAACATTTTCAATTCTGTGACTATAATTTTTAAATTTCTATCACTTTTTTTTTACTATGAAAGCACTGTTTAAAATGTTCAAATAGCAGAAAAGTAATAAAGTTAAAAACAGCCCAGCTTTTCTTGCTTGACCTACCCAATTCTCATAAGGAATTTGCTATCAAAAATTCTTCTATCAATCCAGATATTCTCTTACCATGGAAGTACTGTAATTTAACACTACAGGTTTTAAAAGTACAGGTCCTAATACCTTCCTGCCAGGTTTATAATCCTAGTATTTTATCAGTGGAGAGACATTGGGAAATACTTCTTCATGCTTCAGTTACTGAATATGTGACATAGGAGAAATAATAATTGCATAATACATTATAGGGAGAACTTGATGATTCAGTAAATGGTGTTAATCATGACCGAACATACAGGATTGTCTTGTTAAATGGTCCAGAGAGGAAAACTGACAGAAAAACTCAAAACCCATTCAAAATAAAGTTCAATACTGCCAAAAAACTCCAAAGTAGTTTTTTACTTACATAATCGCTGTTAATATTAGATCCATAATTTCAGATCCATAATTTCATTAATCACATACTTATATAATTTTTTATAGTTAGCAAATTTAAACTAGTAAAGGATCCATGGTATTATATATTTTATATCCTTATAAAATTCGTTTTGACCCACATCCAACTGTGCCCACAGGAGCGAGTCTTATGACTCAGTGCTGTGGGGAAAAAGGAACCCTTCTTCACTGCTAGTGGGAGCATAGATTGGTGCAACCACTGTGGAAATCCGGGTGGAGATTTCTCAAAAAACTCAAACTAGAGGTTCCATTTGACCCAGCTATTCTCCTTCTTGGTATCTTCTCAAAAGAATTAATAGCATCATATGACAGTGACATATGGACACCCATGTTTATAGCAGCACAGTTTGTAAATCTTCCAAGATAAATCTTAGAAACAACTCAAATGCCCATCAACCAATGAATGGATAAAGAAGATGTGGGTTTTAAAAAATTAATTATATTGGTACATTTAATATAATGACATTCATCATTGGAAATTTGCACCTTTACATAATCCATCTTGGTTCTTATTTTTTCCCCATTCCCCTGCCCTCCCTTCAAGCCCTCTACCCCTCCCTATCTACAAAGACTTTGTTTCCATTTTTTCTTTTTCTCATATTAATTCCATTTCCCGACCCCTCCCATTTCCCCTTCCCCTTTGCACCTTTTCTTCCTATTTCACATTATCTACTATACCTTTTAGTCCTTATTTACACTTTCAGTTTCTCACACCAGAGAAACTATTCAGCATTTACACACGTGTGTCCTATTTATTTCACAAGGGAGTACTACTCTGCCAAAGAGAAGGATAAGCTTGAAACATTTCTAACTAAATGGTTGCATCCTGAGACCATACTCTTAAGTGTAATAAATGGGACACACATGTTCAAATATCACATGATTTCTCTGTGTGAGAAACTGAAAGTGTAAATATGGACTAAAAGGTATAATGGACATTGGGAAATGGGAAGAAAATGTTCAAATGAGACAAGGAACAAGCGAGAGGGGAGGGGGGAAGGAAAGAGGGACAAGAAAAAAAAAGAATAGAAGGAAAAATGGAGACAAAGTTTTTGTAAATAAAGAGGGGAAGAGGAGTTGAAGGAATGGAAGGGGAATGGGCAAAAAAGAAGAAGCAAGATACATCATGTACAGTTACAAATTCCCTATGTTGGATGTTATCATTATGTATATCTAAAATGTACCAATAAAATGAAAAGAAAAAAATGAATTAGATGAATGACACATAAAATCAATCTTATGGTGGAAAACAGGTTGAGAAAGAGTGGCCTTGAGAACATGAGGATTGAAACTCAGCTCCAATAGCCCTTCCTCTGAGGCGGGTGCCACTGACACCTTTGGCCTGGCCTGGTGCCTCCTCCTCTGCATTCCACTCTGGTTTCAACACAAGACTCTTCCAGAATTAATGACACTATTCTACAACTTCAGTATTCCACTGTCTTCACCTGCAGGTCGAGGGCTCCCGAACCAGGAAAAGACTTTGGTTTTGTGTCTCTCCAACCCTCAGCAGCTCTACGCCTCTCATTCTCCATGTGCTCCACACATGTTTGTGGGAGGACTGTGGTGATGTTTCACTTTGAAATCAAATTTAGGTATAGATTATGGACAATTTACAGATAAATTCTCCCCAGGTAGTGACATAATTTAAGCATAACCATTAAAGGCCAATTGCCTCCAACTTTTTAGCCTATTCTTACTCGTATTTATCTAGTTTTATTGTGGCAGTCATAGCTAACACAGAAAATTATTCTTTGATCAAACTCAAAGACAGTATCAGTGGTTCACATATAGTTTGATTTACAAGGGTCAGATTCTGAAGAAACTGCAGAGTTTGAAAGACTAAAAAAAAAAAAAAGGCTAAGATTACAAGATGCTGTGGACCTGGAAACATTCACAGCAGAGAAGGGTGTATCTTTTAGCTGGATACTTCAAGACCTTGTGAGATAGTATGCAGAACAACATTCCAGCGGGTCACTGTTTATCTCTGTGACAAATTGGCACATGTTTTTTGTTAGTTTATGTCTACTCTGTTTGCTTTAAGAAGCTTATAACTGCTGATTTTATATAGATTTTATTGGCATCTATCTGACTGAAAGAAAAGCTGTAAACTCTATGCGGGAGTCCAGTTTTGAGATACCTTCACCTAGATACACAATGAGAACATTTTTACTTCGCTGTTTCTTCAGTGTCTACTCCCTGTCCAGAGAAGATGACACACCCATTTCCGGTCTCCCATGCAGAATATCCTGAGCTGATGGACTGACGAGTCACAGTCTCATGTTTTCCAAAGTTACTCTCTGCCTTCCGCCATTACCCTTTCTATGAATTTGGGTGTCATCCTTGGACAGGGGCTGTGCTAGCCTTCTCTGTATCATTCAAATTTTAGTATCTGTGTTGCCGAAGTGAGCACCCTCATTCCCCCTTTTATTTTATTTATTTATTTTTAGTGCCAGGAATCGAACTAGGAACCTTGCACTTGCAAGGCAGGCGGCAGAACCACCAAGCTAAATCCTCAGCTCATTCACCCTTTTAAATGCAGGCAACAAACATTATGTCTTGTATTACAGAGTTATCTCTCATCTGCCACACTAGATGGAATTTAAAAACAAGACAGTAGTCTCTAAACTGCCTCACAAAAAACACAGGCATTTAATACATTCCTATGGGTTGAAAGGACAAATGAATGGGTAACAGGACCTTTTCAGAAGGGGAATTGGGAGGGGTAGGGGAAAGGAAATAAGGGGAAAAAAATATAAGAAAAGGAAAAACATGGAAACAAAGTCTTTGTAAATAGGAAAGGGTGGAAGGGGGGGAAGGGGAGGCAGGGGAATGGGGGAAAAATAAGAAGCAAGATACATCATGTAAAGGTACAAGTTCCCAATGATGAATGTAACTGTATTGTATACCTAAAATGTACCAATAAACTTAATGGAAAAATAACAGGACCTTTTTAATATTTTGACACTACCTTGCAAATTCTCAAACATTCTAGCCCATAGCCTAATAATGACTTCAGGCAGAAATATTAGTGCCTTCCCACACAAGTGACACAAATTTAAGTCTGATTTTCAGCCACAGAACTTGAAAATATAATGAAATAATATGACTCTGCCAGAGGTAGCTAAACATATACATACATGTGTGCACATGCGAGAGAGTTGTTATAAGGGAAAAAGCATAAAGTGTGGGCAAGTGTCAGTTGCCTTGCAGCAGTTTCTCCTCTTCTGCAATGAATTTAAATCACTCAGAACTTTCCTGATAAGATGCAGAAGACATTTTTTCTTTACTATTCATATTAATAATCCTTTACAAAAAGGATTTAGAGGAAACATGATTAGAAGCACATATACAATAGAATCACTAAGGCAAAAGTAAAACAAAAAACAAAACAAAAACTAAAAGTCCGTAAGAAGGTCAAGGAAGAGAAATCCTTATAATTTACCTTAAATTTTTCTTGGTAGTTCAGGTTAAAAGAAACATAATGAGCTAGAATGGTTATAAGTGACTAAGAAATCAGCTAGGGAATCTTTCTACTCATTAAGAAGTGGAATAACATACGAAGGTCCTCACAAAACATTCTGTAAAAGAAAGAAAACTTTCCCCATGAAGTTATTTCTTATTTTAACCATAATTAGAAGCTGAGGGCAAGAAGTTAAATCATGGTAATCAAAGCATTCCTGGAGCAAAAGTAGCACATGAAATAGTACTTCTCCCACATTAAGGGAACTCTCAGAGATTATAGAACAAAACAATTCTTCATGCTGGTTGTTCCAAGGAATAGATAAACATCAGAACAATTGGGGCAGCAAAGATCAAAAGAATCTGCAGTTTTACAAAGGACCTCTAGTTCACCATGTGACTCTGTGACTAGTAAGCTGAGAAAAGACATCACTGAGCCTCAGGATGAAGACCGGTTTTGGGAGAACATCGTCATCTTGCTAGCAGCGACATAATAATAACTCCCATTGGCATGGTGTCCAAAGTGTCATTTTTTAACATTCTACTTTGTAAGAAGAATACTACTGATTAGCTTTGTATTTATGCAGTTTTCTACATTGCTATATTTAGACAATAGTTTCTTATATTCAGACTTCAAGGTAAAAATGTGTATTAGCATAACAAACTATAAATATAACAAAAAATAAAATGCAGAAGAGATGCAGGTACACTGACTGCAATGAACTTGACCCTGATAAAATGACTCAGAGCTGGGAGTACTGACTGCCAGAGCCATTGAATTGTACAAGAGACCTTAGAGAATACTGTGGTTATGAAGAATACTGGTTTTTCAATAATGTATCATAATTCAGATCAAATTTTAGATACAGAGAATGCATGTACACCATTTGATTTACATATTTTTTTCTTTCAAAGCTTCCAAGTAGCCTCTAGACTTCTCCTGGACTGCTCATGTGGAAACCAATGTTATAAGACCTTACTTACCATTTCCTCTCAGGAATGAAGTAAGAGTTGAGCTGGGATTCTGTACTCAGCCCACTCAAGTCCAGCGCCCTATCCTTCTGTCCATTTCCCTCTCTTAACTGATGGAACTGATAGCATATACATATCCCTTCATCCTTCCTCTCAGATAGGAGCACACAAAATCAATATTATTTTCAGGCCTAACTTAAGTATGACTAGTATATGGAAAATTTTACATATGGATTTCTAGGTACATAATGGAGGAGAACAACATTAAAAACACATAAACACATTGAAAGTGAAATATAAGATTTGTTTTTAGCAAGGTGGGATAAAACAAATCCACAAAGCTTTCTGTATTCCAAAAAATTTTCACTGTTGGATTCCTGTGTGTGAGTTCTAACATCTTCAAGTCACTTTTAGATGTAAAATTTAGCATTAATTTAATGTTAAATTGACAGGCACTCAGACTTTTTAAGGGACAACCAAAACAGTGCATGATTCAGTCACTACTCTGCAGATTTAAAAAAAAAAAAAAGCTAAGCAAGAATCAATGTATCCTAGAACCAAACTATAAAATTAGATACAAAACTCATGTGCAATGTGGTCCATTAGCACCGTTCTGCACTATTATTGTTGCTCTCTGTCATCACTTTTTACTGTTACTATTAGTAGTCATTTTATTTATTTTTTTTGGTACCTGGGACGGAACTCAGGACCCTGCACTTGCAAGGCAGGTACGGCACCACTGAGCTAAATCCCCAGCTAGTAGCCATTGTATTTTAAAAGTTAATTTGAACTTAATTTCAATCATAAAATTTAAAAACTAATTTTAAGAACTGGCTTTCAGAGAGAAAGAGGGTTGACTCTCATGCTCAGGTAATAATGATCTAGAGGAAGTGCTTCTAAATCATTTTGCCTTCATCAGCTTACTGTTTTTATTACTCTGAAGATGACTGGAGCCACATGGGCTCAGCTTCCCAACTGGAAACACAGCCAGCCAACCTTTTGTCCACTTCTGGCAACCACCAAGGCCCTCGGCAGCATTCCCATCTCTGTCACTGTCTGTCCAAAGCCTTGCCCCTGCGTGTTTAAAAACTCCAAGGGGAAAAAAAAAACTCCAAGGAAGAGGAGGGCAATGTGGGAATTGCTTTCCTCTTATCTTGGAGTTTAGATACTGTTGAACAAATTTTAAAATAGATCATATAAAGTTCCCATAAAAGCCAAAGGGAGGAGCTAAGCTGGAAATCTGCACAAAATCAGTTGCTCAGATGCAAATAGTGCTGGAAAGTAAACACTGGAAGCAATCTTTGGTTAGGACCTTGTCCTCCTGAGAGTCCTGGGGAAGTTTAGAATGGCCTTGAGCAACCAGAGGCCCGAGAGGAGACAACACTCTTTAGTGAATAAAACCCATCTACCTACTTACCTACTTACCTTCCTTCCTTCCTTCCTTCTTTCCTTCCTGCTTCCTTTTTATCTCTGTTTTAAAAATTTATTTACTAGCATGTACAAGTGGCTTTTTCTCACCTTTAATGCTTCCATGCCAGCTTGGATGACAGGAGCAAAGACAGTTTCATTTTCATTAGAGTCTGCAAATATCTCTGGAATCTGGTCCAATAAACTATAAGAAACAAATGAGCAAAAGGTTTTAAATCTTTAGTATATTTGTCATAAACTTCAAAAAATAAATCACTGACATTTCAAGCTAAAACACATGTGGTACTTATTTTGTGTCCAATACCTGTGAGTACACTTCACAAGCATATCTTAGCAAAGCTTGCCACTGCAATCTAGACTTTGGATTTAACATCTACTAAATCACACTTTGTAGGTATTTTTCTGTTCACTATCACTGATCTCTTTTAAGTCATAAATTCAGATACAGTAGCTGTATCTCAGACAGCAGCTGGATCTTTATTAGCATTATCATTGAATATGTTCATTCACATGCAGGAAATAACTCCCTTGAGTCACCTTTCCTGCAAAGAAAAAGAATTCATAGGGATGGGAGCAAGTACAAAAAAGTTTTTCCTCTTAGATACTAGTCTATATTAAAAAGGAACTCATATAAATGATAGAGTTTTACAATCCATGTCTTAAAACCATCTTGTTAATGACAAAACTATGAAATCAAATCAAGAAACAATGCAATTTAAAACAGACAACTGATTTGTATGCATATCATATTTACTTGTGAATCACAGACTGGGATTCTTGATAGTTGACAAGGAACCCATCCAGCAATGGGACAAAGACTTCCCCAACATCAGTCACCACCATCATCTGAGGCCGGGCCAGATTACTCTTCACATTGAAGAAATGGAGAACTTTGTTGTATGTGATAAAACCAACTCGGATTGCAGATGTCTCTTCTTGCTCTTCCCTATGAGAAAAACAATGTGTTTGGGGTTCATTTATAAATTTAGACTGAGAGGACAGTTTCTGTCTGAAATTGATTAAGTGTGTCTTCTGTAAAATATATAAAAGCCATGTTTAAAGTACAGGCTTTAATTCCTGTTACCAGAACTAAACAATTCTAAGTCACAGCAATAGGGGATGAGGAATTACTATAAAAATAAGCAAGCTGATAAAGAAAGAAAAAAGTTCTAAAAAATTCTAGGTAAAAAAATCAAATAGATATTATAAAAATATTTGCTCATATTTCTTTAATATATTTATTTTCAATCCACAGCATGTTACAAGTTTTTCTTTTATTTTCATAAACAAGCTATATTATTACATTCTTTATATAAACAAAGCACCCTTAGAAGATCCCAGAAGGTGAGAAGAACAAATGGAATAACTGAAGCAAGAAAAGAGAAAGAAAAGGTACATTCATATTACCATGAGGACAGCTTTTTAAATTTTTAAATCAAAATAGGATCCCTTACTTATACATCTTAGAAAATCTTAATAGATGGGCTAATCAAAGAAACAGAAGAAAGAAGGAAGGAGGAGGAAAAATCAAAGAGGAGGAGGAGGGAGAAGAGAAATTTGAGGGGGAAGAAAAGAGGTGGAGAGGAGGAGGAAGAGGAGGAAGAAGAAGGAAGAGGAGGAGGAGAAAAAAGGAAGAGGAGGGGCAGGAGGAGGAAGAAGAAAAAAGGGGGGAGGAGAAGGAGAAAGAAGGGGATGAGGATGAGAAAGAGGCTAGATTTTGAGATCTACATGCCATATAATATATAAAGAAAATTACATTTATAAATTGACAATACAATTCTTATTAGGTGACCATTTGTGATGGTCATGACAAAGCAATAGAAGTTCTAAAACTGTAACAGAGTAATTTTTTATTTAAAAAATTCTAAAACAAGGCCTTAATGTTTCTGAAAATATAGTAGCATGAATGTTCTCCATGGCAGTCTACATTAAATATATTCAGAATGGTCTAGACTCTGCTCACATGTTACTGAGTGCATTATTCATTCTCTTTCCCTATCCCTCTTTCCCTTATGAAAACAAAACACTGAGATTCTACAAGTGCTGTAATTTTTAATAGTGGATAGTATATAGTGCTCAATGGTTTATTTTATTTTATTTTATTTTTTAGTGCTCAATGGTTTAAAGAAAGCTCCATAAGATGCACAACATTTTCTCTGATCTGTAGTTAACAATAAAAGTTACTCTGCTTAGGGAACAACTTTTCTGAAGAATTTGATTTGCTCCTAAATTTTCTACACAGTATAGACAGTTGCTTGAGTTTAAGCATTAGGAAAACAAAAGATCTAGATGAAAGTATCTCAAGTTCAAATATTTGATTCCACTGTAAGCTTTTAGTTTCTTTGGTATTTTAGCAGTGTACAGGCTGGTCATTATAATTTTAACTCTACTTTATTTCTTCTCTACTCTCTTTTCTAAATGAAGGGTATTCTTCATTGTAGCCTTGATAAATGGGTGAATGGACAGTTTAAATAGATTCTCAAAGTCCTTTCCAAAAGCACTTGGTGAACATTTACATTTTGGATACTTGGAATGCTTTCAGAAGTAAGAATCCTCATCTTTTGTTAACTATTTATACATAGACATTCATATGACCCCCAATATTTTAAACTGTATGATTTCATATAACTAACCACTCTTCTATATATGATATGATATAATACTATATGATACGTGATATGATATCATACCATACCATACCATACCATACTAGCTACTATGCCACAAAACACTATACTTGGGTTTTCTCTTCTTCTCCCTATGGTTAGAATCTTACTCTTTAAGACAAAGCACAAACCCTTCCCCTATGCTATCAATCAGAAATCATTTCTTCTTCTAAATTCCTATAAAGTTTAAAGTTTATAGGAATAAACTTTATAGTATAAACTGTTCTCACTTAGTTCTTAGCATGTGGAAACTTCATTTAATGGTCCATGAGTCCTTTGCCAGATGTCTCTTCTTGTTCCTTTCAGAAGCTAATAAAGAGCAGTACCCAAGGCTTATGTCCTCTGTCTTCACCTGGCCTCATGTGACCACCACATTACGGCAAAATGGAACTCTAAATGGACTAACTATGCAGATACTGTTCTCAGGAGGTCTGGTCCAGTTTCTTTCCACAGACAGGAAGAGAATTGAAGGGTGAGGAGAGATGAAGAAAGCCTGGAATTGTCTATTCTCTCATGGCATTCCCTTTCTCCTCTGTTCCTATAAATGGCCCTAGCACATCTGGACATAGGAGATGGTGATCTATGGTAATATGAGGCCCCTCCATCTCCTCAGAGATAGTTTTGAACAAAGCCTTTTTCCTTTTCACCAAAATAAATGGTCAGTAACACTAGTACAATGTGGAGCATTGGAGATTTTATTGAGGATGATGATCCTCAACATCCTCAGTGAAGAATTGAATTTGGCATGGCAAGGTGGAGCCCAAACTGGTAATCCAAGACTGCAACTCTCCATAACTCTGGTTTAGCACTGCCACCTTAGGCTGGGCATGGTGGCACTTGTATACCTGTAATCTAAGACCTCAGGAAGCTGAGTCAGGAGAATCACTCCAAGTTCTAGTCCAGCCTGGGCTACACAGTGAGTTCAAGGTTAGCCACAGCTGCATAGCAAGATACTGTCTCACTACACCCTTCCAAAAAAAAAAGATCAATCTGGCTAGAAGTATTGACAGCAAGGAATAAGCAAATACTACAAATCAAGGCTTTGTATACCTGAGAGCTGGTTTACTAGCACAATACTAGTTAAGATTCCATTTCCAAGTAAAGCTTTTACTGTGTGAGATAAAAATATCCTCACTTGGCATGGTGGCACATGCCTGTAATCCCAGCACTCTGTGAGGCTGAAGTGGGAGGATGGAGATACTGAGCCTAGCCTGGGCAACTTAGTGATATAGGGAGAATTTGTCTCAAAAATAAAAATAAAAAAAGTTGGGGATGTAGCTCAGTGCAAAGATCCTGGTTCCAATCCCCAGTGCAACACACACACACACGCATTCCAGAAATCACGAAAGACTTTTACTCTCTTTTAACAGCAAATTTGGAGTATTTAGAGTCAATTAGAACAAAGGAAACAAAAAAAAGCTATAAAAAAGAATCTGGATTGCACTTTCCCATTGAACTTGTACATATTTAAAGTGACGGGAAAAGAGTTATCGGGGGATTCATAGGGTTTACTTGAAATCTAAATTAAAAACATCTAATCAGAACATCTCACATTATTACAAAATATTATTACTTATCTCCATGGGAACATGTTTTTCAAAAATTGTTTGAGAAATGAAAGATTGTCCTAATTTTTTTCAACACTACAACTACCTCATTAAGTTATATCAACAAGAAGAAAATGAATTCTTAGCCTCTCCTTCATATTAATTTTACACAGGTTTTGTGAGGTTATATCAGGGATATCAAGAAGTCTAACATGATATTTTAGACTGTTTTGCTCTGTTGCTTTTCAATGATGTTTTTCTCAACACTTTCCCCTATCATTTGAATAGAATGAAGCTGACAGCAGCACTGAAGACATTAGCAAGTAGGTGAACCAGAAAATTCCAGGGTCATGCATTTCAAACACTCTAGTTACAGCAGCATTAAAAACAAACAAACAGAAAACACAAAATAACACAAAGACTTGATCTGAACAACAGGTGAACCATTTCAAAGTTTTTCCTTAGTGTTCCAGATTAGTCAGAAAACTCTGGCAACTTAGCCAGCCAAAGATATAAATTCAAAGTTAAATAGCACAGAATGGAGCCTTTTCTTTTCAAAAGATTAGCTAAGAGATGAACACACCCTAAGACATTAATCAAGAATTCAAACTGTGCTTTAAAAAGGCTATTTGGCATGTTACCTGCTTTAGTGCAAAGAAATAAATCAAATTGATGGAGAACTCTTAACACTAAAAAGGTACATATATAAGCAGCCCAAAATAAATTTTTGAGGAGAATAAACAACCAATTTGTTTTAAAATATAAAAGAAGGAAAGGCAGTTGGCCTAAAAATACAGTTTTAAGAAAGAGATTTGAGTAAGAGCAGAGAGTAACCTGCAGTACTTTTACTTTTCTCTCCGATCTTTTCCCAAGTCACACATCTGCTCCATTGAGACACAGTCATGGTGACAGCAAAGGAAAGATTGTAATTTTGATCTTACATATCAAAAAGTTATAAGCTTTATATCATAATTTCATTGAAAAGCAACCAGGAGTTGGTAGAGTAACTGTCCTATAGATTAGGTTAGGGTAATTCTAATCAGTCTGAGAGAATAGGAAGAGGGAGAGCCTATTTTCAGAAATTGGAAGTTTTTGTTTCATATGAAACAAGCTCAAACTTCAGATTCAGAATGACAATAGGCTTCTCATAATCATCAGCCATAATAAAATATATGTTCTCAAGTCTCCTAAGTACGGGTGAGACAACACCAGTCATAAGGCTGCAACCGTCAGAAGCCTTTCTCATAACACCATCATCAACTTGCTCATTCTTCACTTCAGAGTTCAGTTTGAAATCACCTCAGTGTTTTTTAAACATCCCACTGCTTTTCCAAAACACCCTAGAGAATATTATGACTTCAGCTTCACAGACACAAACAAAACTACTTCTGGGAGGTCCAGAGATCATCTGTATGAGCCTTGAGAAGACCACATCACAGTCTGAGGTGGAAAGGGGACAGAGGATTGGGCATCTAGACTCCCAGAGTGCTGATGGCTGAGGACAGTTCTGAGGGCCCCCAAATGCCCTTTTCAGAACAGATACTGCTATGTGTGTCCAGGAAGAGAGGGAGGAGGGGGAAGGTGTGGAAACATAGAGATTCTCCCCTCAGACAACACTTCCAGTCTTTTATGTTCTTGGGCCAGGCTTCCTCACAGGAAGGCTGGGCTCCCTATGCTCTCCAATCTCTTTACAAGATGCAAGCTCCTGCCCTAAAGAGATAGTTTGTGCAATAATAGAATTTAAAAAGAGCCATATTTGATATTAGAAGAGATAAGAGAGAAAAATGAAAGGACATAGGTAGTTATTCCCTGCCCCTTTTAAAATCTCTCTTAAATTTTTACTCAAGTCAAAAATACCTTTATTCCCCTTTATCTTTCAAAACAAATCTGGTTATTTTTTGCTCCCAAGGTTTCTTGGGGCTGGATATGTGTGTGACTTTATATTTTTTATGGTAGGACTGCAATTTGCTTGAGTTACTTTTTTATGCTAATGTAGGTAACATTGCAAATGGCCTTCTGAAAGTGCAGTACAGGGTTATGATTAACCTCTCTTAATTATCAGAATTAGATTTCTCCTTTCCTCCTGTGCACTGTTCTCTTGCAGAAGGAGAGGTATGCAGCTGGAGCTGCTAACAGTCAGACATAGAGGTAGCAAAGCCACAAATGCATTACATATTGTATTAAAGTAAAAAAGAAATCTGAGATTCCATGGCCCCCAGGGCAGAGAAGGTGAGTCACGTGGGCTCCAGCAGGATCCTCCCCACCCCATGGAACTGAGAAGACACATAAACAAGCCTCAAAAACAGACTTCTGGATCACCTACGGCAACCCCAATGGGAAATGAGATGGAACACTGATACTCAACCACCTGGATTCCCTGAACTGGTAACAAAAGAGGATCTGGAAAAAATGAAATCAGAAATAATTCTCAGATAACAGCAGAGATTGTGCTCCTAGTGCAAGACATGATTAATAAATCTAGAGAGGACACAGATAAAAAAAAATAGAGGAGCTGAGGAACATGATGGAATCACAACATAGGAAACAAATGGAATCCATAAAACAGATACAAACAGATTTCCAGGAGATTAAAAACTCCATTGAAAGTCTA